AACCTCATATATAAGTTTGTACCGTACTAGTACGATAAAATATCGTACAGTAATTTCGTACCCCCAAACAAATTGTAGCCTAATTTAAGGTGTAAAAAAAAACAAGAATAATTCTATTATTAACTTTAGTATTTTATTCTTAACATAATAATAATACTTAAGATTCTAATATATTAATGCTAAATTACACATTTTACTTAGTTCTCTGTCCCTAGCTGCAGGAGTCAGCCTGACTGACTGTGCATCGTACGCCATCAGACTCGGGAATGATAATTCATCATTATATGTGTGCGCGCGCGCGTGTCAAAGCCTAGCACGGGCATCCCCCCTCGGGCAATGTAATTTTGTGGGTCTCACTGGCTCACCGAGTGTGGTGTGGTCTGATCTGATCTGACCCAAGCTATTGTCCTGGCGACGTGGCCAGCCTACATTTCAAGGGAATGGCTTGGTTCGAAATGGTACGATAAAAGTACGAAAAATTAATCGTATTTTCGTACCTTACTGAACTTTGAAAAAAATATTGAACCGAACTTTTATCACCCTCATAACCGTACCGTACTGCATGCTCTGGTTGCCCATGCCTGTTGTACATAATGTTTTTAAATGATTTTTCCTCAAATGACCCTCACAAGAACAGTCAATATGGTAAATCATTCTGTATGACACTGCCCATCTGTTTTCATTTGCTGCCTTAGTAATGTGAGAAATATCACACTGAGATTGTACAGCCATGTCATTTGTATTGGGGAGAAGTAAGAAACGAGTGTGATGGGTCTGTATTTCAAGCTGTGCAGCTCACCCTTTAAGAAGTCTCATAGTGGTTGCTCGTAACTAGGTGGTCAGATGCTCGTGTTGGTGACAACTAATGACTAATAGTTACTACAAGGGATTTTCATTGACATTTCAGAAAAGAATGTTAACATTCTTACTTTGATTACACCATTACCAATTTTTTTCTTGCAGAACCCTTGAAACTAACCCAGATTAACAATCTTGGGTTAAGAGAGGTGCTCTCTGGTGAGATGCTTGGGTCTGGCCAACTCACCTCACCGCACTTGCCTGCACCACACGATTGATAATTGTAGGTTATGATTCATAGAAAGCTTGCTATTTGAGATAAAAAGCTGGGGTTTGTTGCATTACCATTGTAAACAAAGTATCTACAAACAGCTTTATAAAAGTGATCACAATAAAAACTTGTTTCTCTACCTAAGTGCGAGTATACGAAAACAATTTTGTTTATGCTTAAAGAAAATGTTTATACATCGCTATATACTTTCATTATTTCATGTGATTGTAATATGAATGTTATTCCATTACAAAGCATACATGTTTAGCAAAAAATAATTATAGAAGAAAGGTTGTGAAAAAATTATTATTTCGCTAGGTAATAGTGGTGTAAATTGTGTGTTCTGATGAGCACACCCAAGCTGTGTACAGATTATAAATTTTTTCCCTCCGAGCCCAAAATATAATTGTACATATTGAGACATAGCAAGCTTACTACAAATAGTTTTATATATGTAATCACAATAAAATTATGAAATCTATACATAAGTGTAAATTTAACACAAATTATAGTGCATGGCTGTCACTCAAGCTCCCAAATGCAAATATTCCTTGCCCAAAGTTTCAATTTTTTTTACATGAATTATACATAATGTGTTTATAAATGCTTATTATTTTCGAAATTCATATGAAATAATAACTGTAGAATATTGGTTTAATGTAATGCATAAAATTATTATTATTATTTTTTTTTTTACAAAAATATATGAATTACTGTACTTACATGTTGGCGCATTTGGTGCCGTACTTAGCCTGAACAAGGTGACTAAATCTAGTTTTAGTGGGAGTACAGGTAGTGCACACCTGTGAGGGAGATGAGCGGTCACGCTGGTATGGCCGAGATGCCGCATGAGCAACACTTTTTTATTTTTCCTTTTAGCCACAACGACATGCCGGCCAGTTCCTTTCGCACTATGACTGCTTGTTGAAGGGCCAGACAAACTATCACTTGCACTAGAAGGGCCAGGGGCACTGTGAGAGGCCCCAGGAGGTACCACACAATCACCATAGTGAAATCTCCTTGGATTTTTTATGTCCCCCTCCCCCCCACCTTCACCAGCAACACGAGGCATGGTTCAATATTCTCACAACACTGTTATGAATAAATCAAATCACTGTGATGAACAAGAAATCAGCACAAGTCATGAGAAAATAGTGGGAAATGAAGGTCAAGGTTACATCCTGCGCCATTGAACCACAAAGAGCGACTGATGTGGTCACTCACCTAACCTTGGAGGCAGTCTACATAGGTGCCAGATCACATCCACGTTGCCAAATGTCTGTCTTGCATATCTAACGTTCATATGCAATTATAAAATTATTTCATTGTAAATCTGAGTTCATACGCAAATTTGCGCATGAAAAACCCCCAAGAGTGTTGAGCACCAATAGACTAAGGTAAAGCCATCCATACCCATGACAAGTACTCTTTTTTTTCTTATCTAGTACTTGAATTTATTTAATTTTTTTTATTTCTTAAATTTTAGTATTACAATATTTGTTGCTAATTATACAATTGTTTTATGCAAAAAATAAATGTAATTTACTTCTGATGGTGTGTTTTGAGATGCCAAACAAAGTTAAAAGTTGTTGAACTTTACAAGAAACAAATTGTGCTACTCATATAAAAAAAACAAAGTTTCTAACTCTTTAAAAACAATTTGACCAGTTAGGATAGACACTGTTCTGTACAAATGGTATAAAGAAAGGGGGAGGGGGTATAGAAGGGTGATGAGTGCTTCCATCCTTTTTGAAAGCATTCTAAAATTTCTAGAACCAGAACAGGCCATAATAGGAAAAAAGAAAGGCCAAATAAGGTAATCCACCTTCCTCTCAGGTCACATAGAAAGGTGGACACTCATGATTACAGTCCAGTCATGACAGGGATCATTCAAGTCTAGTTCCCAAACTGGCAACCCTGTGCCTGTCATCACATCACAGTCCTAGAACACTGTTAGTTGATCTCATACCTTTCTTTAATTATTAAAATTGAAATGAAATAATTAAACTACTGAAGTTACTTGCAAATTTATATATAGGTTGACACAAGTGAAAAATACTCAAAGTTATTTCAGCCAAGTCTCAAGTCATGTCACAAGTCAAAATATGAGTCAAGTCAAATAATATTACAAATGTGTCAAAGACAAATCTGAAGTCCACAAATATATGAACATTTACAGCCTCAAGTCCCCCATCTTTGGCAGCTACCTAAATAAACATGCAAATACACTCTGCCATTATAACATATTTGTTTAGTGTAAACGAACACTTAATGGATGACAGGCTAGTCTCTACAGCTTTTTCAAGAACTGCTCACAAGTCCTTTGCATTTTAAGCCCTTAATCACCTAAATAGTGCAGATGGCTTTGAAACTGTTGCTGAATTCTAAGGGAAGCCAATGATGTAGACTAGTGAGTCTGAAGATAATGTACATACTTCAATACAAATGAAATAAATGTTTAAAGTATGCATAAGTCACCATGTGATTATGGACATAACTGATAAAATGAAAGCCTCTGGAAGGAGGCTGCAATAAGTTAACCCAGGTCTACAATAATGGAATAAAGGTTTCTTCCATACCTATATAAATTACACATCCTTATGTAATCAACTTATGGGTGAAATTTTACCAACTTTTATTTTAATAAAATACAACTGAAAAACACTACCCCACTGTATGTGAGAAATACCCGTTATGTACAGTACCAGTCAACATGGATCAATATCATCACTGGTCAGGGCCTACTCTACCTATTCACCAGAGGCCATTAACCCTTTCAGCCTCGGAGCCGGAGACATACATGCATGAAAACTTACGCTCAGCCGCAGAGTTTTTTGCCAAAAAATCGTTGAAAAAAATTTTTTTTTTTAGGGCTCATTTCACTGCCATGGAATTGTTTTATTAACTGTAATGGGGTCTCTTCTAGCATAAAATTGTCTGAAAAACTGCATGAAACCATAAAACAATTTAAAATCTTGAAATATAAGCCAATTTTTTTTAGTTTAAGTTGAAAAGTAGGAAAATGTTTAGTAACATCCCACTTTCCATTCACATTATCCTACTACAGTATTATGGTGTGCATTGATATTTATTATCGACCAAAGTAAAGAACAAAGCATGTAGAATATAAGGAAAAATAATATAACACAAAAACTCATGGAATAATTAAAGGGCTGAGCGGTGCACCCTCCTCTCGCTCTAATGGCCAGAGGGACACTGGCTTCATGCTGTTCTGCCATGCACACAATGACCAAGACCACCTCAGGTCAAATGGCTTCTAAAGTTCAGTCAGTTTCACTGAATAGTCTTTGAGTTATGTGAAAATACAGGTATAGCCCATTGGATGCCAACGTGACTGAGTGTAAGTTTTTTCGCCTTTTATGTTCGATGCCACAATGGTGTCATGCGGGGCTGAGTTATTTGGGGAGAAAAATAAACTGATTCAGTGAAAAACATGAAACAATATAATAATAACAATTCAAGATCATGGGAGTTTTACAATCATAAGGCTTACAATACTTTTAGAATCAGCATCGTGATTTACGAAGAATTTTTTTGCACCTCTGACATATAAGTTTAGTAAACTATACTTAGCTAATATCAGGACATAGAAGCTAACAATTTATGTTTTACAGTCCATCAACAATGCATGGAACTTTATAACAGACAATATATAGAGCATAATAAAAGTTACAGGTAAGCTCATCAACAATATACCATAGCTAGTCCAGTATTGTATACTGGAAGATGTAAATTTTTCAACAACAAAATATCTAATATGGGACATATTAAACTGGAAAATATAGCTGAATACTGCACTGATTTGAAACTCATTGAACAAAGCTACTGGTGAATAAACTAAAACAGTAGTTCTGGTCTTTGTTAATACACCCAGTACTGTATTATACTGGGTAATAAAAATCTTTCTTACCTTTTGATTCTTAAAGATCTGGTCAATATCTCCTTGGACAACACCCATGGGAAGGTTCCCCACAAAAGCTGTGTAGGGAGCTTCTGTTGGGAGAGGTTTCCTCGGCCGACTACCTGAATACCGCCCAGTGTCACTATAACATCCTCCTCCTCCTACACCACCGCCGCTGCCACCACCTCCGCTTCCACGAAAGTTGGTCCTAAAATAAAATAAACTTGATGTTACACCCACTATTAAATTAAAGTTGCAGCATCCTAGTAATAATAATAGTAATAGGAAATTGGAGCAAAATTGAAGAGAAAACATATACCCTACAGTACATTACTTCATAGAATTGGCTATAACAGAGAAGAGTAACAGGCACTGCAACAAGCACAGTGATGTCGTCAGTGACCTTTGACCTTTTCACCCCAAAACCAGCACAGCAGGCATCTGTTTACCTTTCAAAGCATATACCTATTAACTTGACTGAATATATACTGAACAATTAAAATTTTTACTTAAATGTTTACAAACAGACAACACTACAGTATACAAAGACCATAATGTTACACAAAATGTGCCTTTTGATACAATAGCTTTATCAACGCACATGTAGGAAGCACCTAGCTCATCATACTTTCCAACATCATCAGAACCCCTAAACCCCGAAAAGTTCTATGGCGATGGGAAAGACAGATGACTGCCAGGAGTCCTTCATCACAACTCTGCATGTGTGGCATAGATAAGATGGTCTTTTATGCACTGGGATCTAGGCAGCAGTGCAATCTGGTTACTGTCTGTGTGACTGAGCAACCCTTTCCAGGAGTCACTCTGCTTACCCCACATGGGGAGGGGCTAGAAAAAGTGCCCCAAACAAAGCCTGCTTAAAAACTCCAACTGACTGAGCAACTGCACCGAGTAAGGTCATCCAAATGCGGTCGAAAACATCACAACAGATCAAAACAAAACAAACTACCTGCACGGAATGTCAAGACAAACGAGTGTCCCGAAAGAAGAGCCACACTTGTGGCAAAAGAGTTGTCTAGATACAACATCAACATAGCAGCCATTAGTGAGTCTTGGCTCCCAGAACGGGGGTTCAGCTATACCTTCATCTGGAAGGGTAGGCCTGCTGCGAAGAGAAACTGCAACAATGGAGCCCCACTGAATGACTCATGTCATGCCTTCTTCATCGGTGCATATGCCCCAACAGTAGATGCAAAGGATGAAATCAAGGAGGCCTTTTATGCTGATCAGGAGAGTGCTATCCTATATCCCCAGAGAAGATAAGATTGTACTCCTAGGTGACTTCAATGGCAGAGTTGGCAGAGATGCTGACTTATGGCAGGGAACCATAAGGAGTAATGGCCTACTCCTCCTAAGCAAGTGTCCTAAACACAACCTCACTATCACCAACACCTTATTTAGGTAGGCCGACAAATTCAAGGACTCTTGGCAACACCAGCGATCCAAACATTGGCATCTCATTGAACACATCATTGTCAGAGAAACAGATCGCTGACATGTCCTCATCACCAGAGCCACATGGAGCTAAAACCTATGAGACAGGTCATTGGCTCGTCAAGAGCAAATCTCTCCCTTCACGTCATAAAAGGGCAAAGGCAACATACCACCAGCAGCGGTTTCAACACCAACTGACTGGAGGATCAAGCAGTAGAACATCCTTTCAGAGAGCAATTTGAAGATGGATCGATAAAAACCCAACAACAAACAACCCGAATCCGAGTGCCGAATGGGGTATCCCCTGTGCTGTCATCACAAAAACCTGCAGCAAGACCCTTGGCCAGAAGAAAAGAAAACACCAGGTTTGATTTGATGAAAATAGCCAGGATATTGATGCACTCCTCTCAGGTAAATGATGGTATGAAAGTCAGTGTCCTGCATAATGGCGCCCAGTCTGAGTTTTTCCCACATCCAAATTGGGGTAAAACAAGGATGTATACTGGCATCAACTCTTTTCCATTTTCTTGGTTGCCTTCCTTATCCATGCCAGTTCCAATTTAGCTGGAAGGGTGAACATTGAATACAGAATGAAGGGAACATTCGGTGCTTCTATACTATAGTGTGTCTCTACTGAGCTGGAGTTGGTCTACCGGGATATTTACACTGTAGTATCTATTAACCCAACCTAACCTAACTAATTATATATTTTAACCTACCCCAAATTAACCTGTCATAACCTAACCCAAATTAACCTATCTTAACCTAGGTTGGATTGGGTTAGGTTAATGGATGCTACAGTATAAATATCCCGGCAGCAGACACAACTCCAGCTGGGTAGACAGCATACTACAGTAGCACCGAATTTTCAACATAGACAACTCCAGGCAGGAACAAAGGTGTCAGCTGCTTCTATAAGTGAACTTCAATATGCAGACAACCTCACCATCGTCGCTTATACTGAAAGCGGCCTAAAGGATATCCTGAACCAACGCACACGCGTATGCACTTTGGCCTTGAGGTGAACATTAGACTCCGATCCTCTTCCAGCCTGCCTCTGGTTCAGCCAAACATTCAGGTTAACAGTACAGTGATCCCTCGGTTAATGAATTACCTTCCATAAGATTCTTCACTTCGGTTAACGAGCAAACCCTCGGTTAACAAATTCCTTACGAATTTTTCCCAACATGTTTTCGCCTGCATTTGGCTTCCCACCAGCTGTAGTATTAGTCCGCCAATATAGTAATCGGTTTTAGGGCTTAAATTCCTTACCAGTTTAGTAAATATCAAGAAGGTTGTACTATTCAATAATTTTAAAAGTTTTATATTATTTTTTTTAGTCATTTTAACAATTATTGAACATAATTGAAGTACAGGAAACTAGTTTTTTGCACGCCAAACAGCCACTCAACACACCAAGCTTGGCGTCAGTTTGTTTACCAGTTCAGAGGAAGGAACATCTTGTTCGAAACTCTTCAACATAAATGCTTTTTTCTGTTTCCAGTCAAATTATTGGTAATTTTGAAATATATTTTGCATATTGATAATATATAGTGCAGTGCAGTGTTGATTTAAAGAAAATAATCTTGAATTACAAGTGAACTAAAATTTTATGGGCGAAATGGCGGCATGGGGTGACTTCTCTTCCACCCCAATGCCTTCTCTTCTCCCTTCTCCTCCACCCCCATTCTAATTTCCACCATCATCATCATCAACCAGGAGCCTTCTACATGCACACCTCAAAGTAAGTGTACTTTACTGCATTTATTTTTAGTTTGTATGCAATTTTCGGTGAGCTGGAACCAATTATCCAAAAACCCATTGAAAGAATGGTTTCGGTTAACGAGCAACCTTCTGGAACGAATTGTGCTCGTTAACCGAGGGACCACTATACTGTACTACCTTCTCTAATGTTAACCACTTTCAGTACTTAGGCTCCCACCTGTCCACCACCACAGACATCAATGAAGAGATTTAACATCGGATCAAATATGCATCTTAAGCCTTTGGCAGACTCTGTACCCGTGTCTTCAGTTCAAAGGAGTTGAAATTATCTACAAAGCTGCACGTATATTGATCAGTGGTCATCCATACTCTGTACAGTAATATGGCAATGAGACATAGGTCGTATCAAGGTACTTGAAAACTTCACCAACATAGTCTAAGTTTCATCCTCTGAATTCACTGGGAAGACAAGAGAACAAATGCAAATATTCTCGCTGAAACCAATTGTAGGAGCATTGAGGCAGCCATTATACATAAACAACTATGTTGGGCTGGCTATGTTACCAGCATGGATGACAGTACACTGCCAAAGCAGCTATTCTTCTGTCACCTAAAGAATGGTAAGCATAACGGAGGTAGCAGAAAATGCATAAGGATTGTCTTAAGACAAACCTAAAAAAGGCCAAATTGACCCCCTCACCTGGGAGGCGATCACTTCACACAACAATACTTGGAGGAGCACCACAAGAGAAGGTGTCAAGACTTTCGAGTAAGCCAACTGCATACCAAGGCAGACAAGCAGAATTGCTGGAAAGATGCTGTTGACACCCCTTCCCAAACAAGATGTAGCCCTCCACATATGCAACATCTGCAGATGGCCCTGCCAGTCTTGTGTCAGTCTCTCAAGCCAAGCCACCATAGAGCTCAAAAACAAAAGTTATCATTACTAAATATGCTTGTATGAAAATGCTTGGATAATATACAGTACTGTACATGGATGTCAACAAGAGTTGGAGAAAGGGATAAGACGTGTATAACAGCCTATAAAATTCCATACGGGGTTTTGAGCTAATCTTGCACAAAGCCCAAGAAGCAGGAGACAATTTAATTGTCTTCTCCAGGAGACTGATTTTCCTATCGTAATCTTTAAAAATTGCTATGGTACAAAATTTAAAGACTTTCAATCCCAACCTGATTATGTACTGAGAGTTGAACACCTCATGACTTCTCACTAGCTACCTACTTCTAGTTCTTTAATTCAAGGGAATAATATATCACCTACAACATACAGTTGAGGTATATATCATATAGCTATATCTTTTACGGTACTGCATGTTATTTTCCCCGACTGGCGGGATGTGTGGTTTAACATGCAACCTCACATTAAATTCAAGTACAGTACAAATATAACAGAGTAAGAGAACTAGTACCTGAACATTTTGCAATAAATAAGGTACAGTAGCAACAGTATAGACACCCTAAAACAATAAAGCCAAAAAATTAAACAAGTAGTGTACCAATATCTTCACTTAGAATTTTTAGGTTTATAACATGGCAAAATGTCAACATTATTTTACCAGACTACAGTATATACAGGGGGTATTTACTTTTTTTCCTTAAACTAAAGTACAGGTTTATCACGTTAAATGTTTTCAAGGACAGCCCATAACTATCCCATATGTTCTATTTTAGGGAGCAGGAGATGGATAAAACTGACATCATCATCTTCAAGCTTAACTGAAGGATTATACAGTACAGTACTGGGATATGGAGGGATGTGTCAGGAATCCTGTCAGTATACTGTATAGTAATGTGCTCTCAGCTGGCTCTGACACCCCAAGAACCCACCCCAATACATTTAAGATCTTATTAATAGTAAAGGTAAGAAACAGAAAAGTAATTAATGGTTAGAGTATACTGGCCAGCTCAGGTAGCCACAAATCCCACAGACTAGTACTCAACCAACCCGACAACCAAAACACTAGTAGGTTACAGAATGTAAAACAATTTAAACACCAATACTGTACATAGTGAGAGAATGTTATTTCCTTAAGTATCTAAAGGTAAATCACATCTAGCTACTGAAAATGATGAAGACTACCGTAACTGTTCAGCCTTGCATAAAGTCCCTAGAAATTTACCAGTACTAAAGATTATAAAATATTGACACATTTATGTAGTCCAGTAATACAGCATTTTATACGTATGCACTAGAGATCATAAGGTTTCAATATTGGTATAATTTTCATTTTAGGTCACCTTTCTTAATATATACTGTATACCCAGTCCTTGAGTTATGAACAGGGTACATTTCTGGACCCTGTTCGGAAGAAAAACAGTGTTAATTCCAGTTTAATTGCAATACCGGTACCATTGTTTGGAATCAAGAGAGGGTGATATTAAGAGTACTGTAAAGAATTCCTCGACAATATCCAAAGTGTTTGCAAGACTGATATATATATATATATATATATATATATATATATATATATATATATATATATATATATATATATATATATATATATATATATATATATATATATATATATAAATTTTTACGGGGATTAGCCCAACCGGGCACAGGTCAGTTACCTACATCGAGGTCAGGGGCAAAATGTAATATTAATAATAATAATAATTCATAGTAAATAAAATACACAATTGAAAATAACAATGAAATAATAATAATAAAGACACATAAAAATCAAGTGGGAAAAAAAAAAAAAAAATATATATATATATATATATGCTGATAACCATATATATGCTGATAATACATACATGCATGCATGTATGTATGTATGTATGTATGTATGTACAGTGGGGTATGCTATAACGAACGGATCCTACTACGAATATTCCTATAACGAACGGTTTTACCTATAAAATTGAGAATGCTATAACGAACGAAACTCCTACAACGAACATTATTTAATTTTTTTTTCTTATTTATTGTTTTTTTATTACAAATATTAATGATATTCTTTATTTCAGGGGTTTAGATGCATATTTATGCACTTTTTTACAATTTTTACAATTTTATATTATATTTTTCAGTGTTAAGTGGTTGTATTTGGGGGCCTGGAACGGATTAATCCTATAACGAACGAATGCTATAACGAACAAGGTTCTAGAACCAATTAGCTTCGTTATAGCATACCCCACTGTATGTATGTATGTATGTATGTGGATAAGATAAATCTTGATAAAATCACACGGGAAAAGGGAAACAACGGAGCACCTTAGCTTTCAAGACATCTTCAGAGGCAACTGAAGATGTCTTGAAACAACTTTGTGTGCTATGTTATTTAACTTTTTATATTATTATAATATATATATATATATATATATATATATATATATATATATATATATATATATATTTCATGTAAATCCCACAATGAAAACGTGGATAAGATAAATCTTGATAAAATCACTGGAGAAAATGGAAACAACGGTACCTTAGCTGACCTCATGTTTTAGGTCACCCTGTATATTTAAGCCTCTCTCTGTCCATGTAATCCAGTTGCTCTGAAGATGTCTTGAATAAAGAGCGAAAGCTAAGGTACTCGTTGTTTCCATTTCCGTGTGATTTTATCCAAGATATATATATATATATATATATATATATATATATATATATATATATATATAATATATATATATATATATATATATATATATATATATATATATATATATATATATATATATATATATATATATATATATATATATATATATATATATATATATATATATATATATATATATATATATATATATATATATATATATATATATATACATACATACAATCAACACCTCAACCCGCCAGGATTCGAACCCACGGTCCACTAGCCCATGACTGTGACCGGGGAACGCTAACCGTGCTATTGGGCTAATGAAATATATATGGATCCTCGTGTTTCGAAGCCGGATTTGGTAAAACTTTACTCTGACCACCTACGTGATACGGGTAGTCCCCATTAGAGGTTCACGGCGCCATAAGCTCGTTGAACAGGCTTTGTGTGAAATATAACAAAGTCTAGGACTGCTTTTAGTATCCTGGTGGTCCAGCGGTTAGCGTTCCCCGGTCACAGTCATGTGCTAGTGGGCCGTGGGTTCGAATCCTGGCGGGTTGAGGTGTTGATTGTATGTAGAGATCCGTGTGCTATTGGGTTAATGATATATATATATATATATATATATATATATATTTCATGTAAATCCACACTGAAAACGTGGATAAGATAAATCTTGATAAAATCACACGGGAAAATGCCTTTGAAGATGTCTTGAATAAAGACGAAAGCTAAGGTACTCCGTTGTTTCCATTTTGCCGTGTGATTTTTATCAGATATATATATACCATATATATATATATATATATGCTGATAACCACAAAGAGAAGAAAACACGAAGTTCCCAAAAGCGCTTCGTATTATTCACATCTTCAGGGGTGAGTGTACTCACCCCTCATTTCATACCTATCACGAGCACCTACAGTGATTTACTTGCATATATATATATATATATATATATATATATATATATATATATATATATATATATATATATATATATATATATATATATATATATATATATATATATATATATATATATATATATATATATATATAAAAATACAGTCTCTCCTCGACTTACGACAACCTATACATACGACGGCCGTGTATACATATACAGTGGTTCCTCGGTCTTCGAACAGTTTGTTCCAGATTCGTTCGTTAACCGAATCTATTATTTCAATGGGACATTGGGTAATTCGTTCCAACTCACAGAAAAGGTACATACAGAATACTGTATACCAGTAATAGAGTTAACAAAACATTAAATATAAACTAAATACAGTACTGTACCATACAGTATACTGTACAATAATAAATAAAAACAATAAAATACTGTATTTTAACTTACTGTACTTTGAGGTGTGTATGTTGTATCCCCGGCAGCTTTGTTTACATATCAAACAGCTGAATGTAGAGGCAGTCGATGATGTCATGCCATATTCTTTACAGGGTGCATTGGTTCTAATGCCTTCTTCATGTTTCATAATAATTTCTGCACTGTATATTATCAATATGTTAACTAAATTTCAGGATAACCAATAATTTTAATGTAAAAATGCAAAAATATTCAAGAGACCAATAAACTCGATGTTCACTCCACTATAAACAAAGTTAAACTGAGAAGCGTTGTTGGGTGATTCAATCAGCTGATTGGCGCACAAAAACTGTTCCCTGTACTGTATATATTATCAATATGTAAACTAAATTTCAGAATAACCAACAATTTTAATATAAAAAAAGCAGAAATATTCAGGAGACCAACTTTCTTGATATTTACTCCACTGGAAACGAATGTAAACATAGAACCAATTACTGTATTGGCAGACTGGCCGATCAGCTGATGCACACGTGTTTGTTGTAAGGATTTAGCTAATCGAAGTTTTGTTCGTTAATCGAACTGTTTGTTAACCGAAGGACCACTATATATATATATATATATATATATATATATATATATATATATATATATATATATATATATATATATATATATATATATATATATATATATATATATATATATATATATATGTATGTGTGTGTGTGTGTTTTTTCAGGCAACTCCAAAATTTTTACCCAGCTCATAAACTGAATTACAGTATATGAGAATATGTGACCGTGACTCTGGCGGGCTAGGATTTATTTCTCATTTTTCATACACAGACTTCTGACTAACTAAGAAATAAATGCTAACTGCCACCAGTCATGGTCACATATTCTCACGTTGTTCGCTGTTAATGGACGACTAACCGATCAGAGCAGCACACTCACGGTAAAATAGCATTATTAAGACCTGCCAGTCACGGCAAAATATCCACTATCTAATGGTAAAGTCTAAATAGCAAAATATCAACTCTCTATAGAAACTGGTGGGGATGTTAAAACGAATGTGAAGCTCTTGAGCTTTTGAAACAAATTATAGGAGGAACATATTAATTTCTACATTGAAATTCCAACAATAAGCCAAATTAGGCTTCTAACATTAATTATAAATTAAAGTTACACTCATAATCTCACTCCAAAGTGTTATGTATACACTTCTAGGATACACCCCATTTCGTCACCGACCCGGTTCGTCACCAAAACCTCATTTGTTACCAATATCAAGTCCATTTCATCACCACTAACAGTCACTGGTATTAGTGACAAATTGCAAGTTATTATTTTACACGACTAAAAATTACACATGCATACAGATGCCTCGGGAAGTATTGTATTATTATTATACATGAATATTAATTATTTAATAAAGAAAACGAAAAAAATATTGTGTTAAATAAAATGCAAAACAAATGATTTATTGTGTTATTACTATACCTGAATATTAATTGTTTAATAAAGAAAACGATTCAACATTGGTACACAAAACGCAGAACAAATGAAGATGACTTGGCACCAGAGCATAAATCACCCAGCAGTGAGATGATTGCAGGCGTATTAACAATGTTTTTATTTTTATTTTTCGTCTTTTATTGTCTTAGTGTGTTTTACTCTTTTCTATCCCAAACAGCAGTCATTTTCGTATATACAGTATATTGATGGGAATGAACACGGTGACGAAACAGGTTAAAAATAATGGTGACGAAATGGGCAGACCCCCACTTCTACACATCACCAACTTTTTACAGTTATTAGTAACTTCATAATGAAAAAAAAATAGCAATGTTTTTAGCCAATCTGGACGGAGAAGGTAGTTAAACACACCGACCTTACATTTCAGAATCAGCCATGGCCGCGACACGATGAGTACTAACTCCTTTGTCAGATACTTGGGTGACACTTGACACGCCGCCTTGTAGCCGGAAGTTTGCTCCACCGTCAGATAAAAGAACTGCAGACGTCAAAATCCCAGATTACTGCCGATTGGTAACCCACCGCGCCAACCGCACTTCCGAACGTCTCTTTTCACTCTTTATAATGGAACCCTATTAGCAAACTAAGCTTTTAGATGCCTCCGGCTCTTCCGAATAAAATGAATCACAATGTAGGGATGACAAAACCCAGACTCTTCTATCTTGCACTATAATATTCAATCTTACCGGGAATACTGATCATCATAGAAACCTGCCATGTTGGTTTCAAGTGAATGGACATGGCGAGAATCACCGAAAAGAATGCACTGCGTAAATTACATTTCTTGAGTTAACAACGAATAAATAAATGTGATTAAAGGATAAATATAAACAAATTAAAGTACTTGGTATTATTTAGTAACATATTAAATTTATTTATTAGGTAACAAGAATGAAAAGGTATGTAAACAATGGAATGGTTGACTCTGGCCCAGACCCAGCATGGCGGCGGCCAGTTGAGCACGGTGCCTCCTCCAACTGTTGGGGTTATCAATGGTCTTCATACAATTATGATATGATTTCTTGTGTTAAAAACCTTTATCCAGCTGTTTCCTTGCTTTAAGTAAGCCCTTCTTTTGATAGTTCCTCTTTGTGAGAGCTGAATTGTGTTTACATTCCGTACTTACCATAAGATGTATATAAACAAAGGTGAATCCTAGCCTTTGTTTAGCTTGGGCTGCACCTTGTAGAACATGTCTCCATAGATTGGTGACAGTTTTAACTGTCTGTACACTTCCATAATTTACCTATCGCTTTTCAGTCCCATCAACTCAGAAGAAAGTAAACTTTATTCCTCATACAGTAGCTTGATTTAAGAAATGGTAGAATATAAACAACTTGTGGATCATAAGAGTATGTATTTGCAACAGTAATTTCAATTATGGTGCAAAACAGTTCACATTAATGCAGGAGCCAGTACATGCCTAGTACAGTACTTGCCAACATTGCGTGACAGACGTGACCGATCGCCCGAGTGGCTAACGAGCCGATCAGTGGTGAAGGGGTCCGACTAATTACCCAAATGCAGCTGCAATGAAGTCAAATAATGGTCCTATATGAATAAATCAGACTGCCAACCACTTCTCGACTGGTATTTGGTGTCACGAAGTCACAAAAAATTGGTAAACTTAATTTAATCTGAATTATTAGATCGAGTGCATGTACCTAACCTAACCTAACCTAACCTAACATAATACAACTCAGATTAAATTAAGTTTACCAATTTTTTGTGACTTTATGACACCAAATAATAATCGAGAAGTGATTCACAGCCCGATTTACGCTTGAACGACCATCATTTGACTCCATTGCGACTACATTTTGCTACATTTGGGTAATTACTCGCTCCCTCAGTACATGCACGCGATCTATTAACTCAGATTAAAGTAAGTTTTCCATTTTTTTGTGACTTTGTGACGCCAAATACTAGTCGAGAAGTGATTAGCAGTCCGATTTATTCATGTAGGACCATTATTTGACTTCATTGCGGCTACATTTGGGTAATTAGTCGGACCGGTGGTGAAGAGGATAAAAGAAGAGTACTCACAGATGCTCACAGATGATCTTCTGGAAGAGGCTCACGCCTGTGACTCCAGCTCAATAGCCTCTTCTCTACTCGGACGGTGGCTGTGTGTGGCGGATATTTGTGCCCTATAATTATATACTTGTTGATTTTTCCAGTATTTATCTAATTTTGCTTCAAACTTTTCCGCCATCTCCACATTCACTACTCACTCAGGTAACCCATTCCAGTTGTTGACAACCCTACTCGTGAACGAGTGTCTTCTGAGATTTAGCCTCGTTCTTGTTTTGTAGATCTTCTTTGAGTTCCCCCGGGTAGTGTCAGCCTCCCTCATCTGGAACATTCCTGCTGTACATGCCTGGTCATATATGCCACACACTATCTTGTATGTTTCCACTTGGTCCCCACGAGATCTTCTGTACGCCAGTGTCGGTAACTGTAATTTCCTTAGTATTTCCTCATAAGATAAATCCTTGATCTGTGGTACTAATTTGGTAGCCCTCCTCTGTACATTCTCTACTGCTTCAATATCCTTAATGAGATATGGGCACCAAATTTGATTAGCATACTCAAGGTGTGGCCTAACCAGAGCAGTGTACAGAGCCTTGAATATAGGTGCATCCAGATGAACAAAAGTTCTAATAATGCCCACTATTTTATTAGCCTTGTTGATTTTCTCAGCTAGATGGTCAGAAAACGTCAGCTTATCATCGATGACTACCCCTACATCCTTCTCTACAGTGGTCTTCTTGATTGTGGTGTACATATGATATCCATGGTCAGCAACTTTTGTTCTTCCTATCCTCATGTATTTACTTTTTTCTGGGTGAAAGTTCAGCATCCACTTCTCAGTCCAACCCCTGATCCCATCCAGGTCCTCCTGCAGCATGTCACAATCCTCATCTCGTTCTATTTTCCTAAAAATCTTTGTGTCATCAGCATATAGATATACCTCACTGTCGTGTTTAATTGCCTCAGGCAGGTCATTGATAAAAGGGACAAACAGCAGGGGGCTGAGGACAGAACCCTGAGGGACCCCACTAGTGACCTCTCTCCAGTCAGATACTTCTCCATTTACCACAACCCTCTGTTTTCTCTTAGTTAAAAAATTCCTTATCCAATCAAGATATTTTCCATCAATGCGATAACTAGATACTTTTTCTAATAGTCTTTTGTGGGGTACTCTATCAAAAGCCTTCATGAAGTCACAATACACTATGTCCACAGCCTGACTGTCATCGATAATTTCCGTCCACCTGTCTAGTACCCTAATCAACTGTAGGACTGTTGACCTGCCGGAAATGAAGCCAAACTGTTTATTACTAAACAATCCATATTTTTTCATATGGGATATCATCTCTTCCCGTAATATTGACTCCATTAATTTGCAGATTACACTAGTTAGACTGACTGGCCTGTAGTTTCCTGGTTCACTTTTACTTCCCTTCTTATAGATAGCTGTGATATATGCAATACGCCAGTCCTCGGGTATATTTCCTTCTTGAAAAGAGCTTTCAAACAAGATCCTCAGAGGCTGAAGTAGTTCCTCCATCATCTCCTTAATGACTCTTGGATGTAACCCATCTGGACCGGGAGACTTATGTCTTTTCAATTTTTGAATCACCTTTCTTATTTTGCCCTCGGTTATCTCCAGGTGTTCAAGAGCTGGCACGTCTTTCTTGTTGGCTGTTGGTATCCCCCTATCTGGTTCCTTGATAAAAACTCGTGAGAATTGCTCTGAGAGTACATCTGCCTTTTCTTGATCATTCACAGTCTTCTGTACTTTTTCCTCATCCTTGTAAAGATCTGCAATTCTAGCTTTTGTTCTTGTTTTTGTCTGTACATACTTCCAGAACACTTTTGGATTTGCCTTAACCTTCTTCGCAATCTCTTGTTCTTTCCGTTTCAAGATGTTTCTAGTTTCCCATCTGACCTGGTTATTTAATCTCCTGTATTCCTTTTCAGTTTCCAGATACATCTCCCTTGTGCATGCTCTTTCATTGAACTTCGTTTTCATTATTTTCAGTCTCTCCCACAGTCTCTGTTTTTTCTTCACTTTAGCCCAGAGCTTCTTGTTCATGGGTAATTTTTCATTTGTTCTTTTTCTGCTAACCCTCAGTCCTCTGATTATCTTCTTAGGGACACACTCGTCAATGACTGCCTGGAATTTTCCTTTGAACTTATTCCACTTACTTTCAATATCTGGTTCCAATGATAAGTATTGGATCCAGTCCATCGTAAGCCTTTGCTTCATCAGTAGGTAATCTGCTTTTTCATACATGTACACTTGTTTTTTACTTTTGTCTTCCATCTCTTGTAAGTCACAATGGAAATAAATACAGGCATGGTCACTCTTTCCCAGTGGACTCTCCAGCTTGATATCTCCTACTATAGATTCTTCGTTACTGAACAACAGGTCAAGGGTATTGCCTGTGCTGTCTCCTCTTATCCTGGTGATTTCCTCTATATGTTGAGTGAGAAAGCAGTCCCGTACTTTCTCGATGAACATGGTACCAACATCATTCAGTCCCATTACAGAAGTATAATTACTCCAATTTATTTGTGGAAGATTAAAATCACCTACAATTATTTTATAAAGCATACTTTTATCATTGACTTCCTGCATAAGTTGGAGCAAATTAATATTATTGCTTTCATCACTATTAGGGCTTCTGTAAATGGAGGTAAATAGTAAATTACCACTACTACATGGCACTTCTATACAGCAATATTCACAAAACTTAGTATCAAGTTCAACACTGTAAAATTTGGTTCCTTTCCTAATATATATATTAACATACCTCTCCCTTCCTTATTAAGGAGATTTTGCTCTCTAATGTCATAACCTTCTAGGTTATATTCAGCTGTAATCCATTCATATCTGTAGTGTTTTGGCTTTACCTCCTGTAAGGCTATTACTTGCAGAGTATTTTCCATCTCCTTCAACTGTGCATTTAACTCTATTAACTTGTCTGAACTCAACACATCCACATTACTAAACATAATAAGAAATTTACCTACATTAACATTGTGTTCTTGTTTTTTCCTATTTTTAATCAGTTTCCTTACACTATTTACACTACTGGTATGTACATGTTTCTCCTCTTTGGGCCTCACTACTTCTCTTGGACCCCTATTTTGACGACTCTTCGCCTCCACGGAGGACCTACCACTCTGTGTCTCCCCTTCCCGGAGTCCATTAAGTTTTTTGCCTCCTGCCATAAAACAGCTTCATGTTCTCTCTCCCTTTTAGTTAAGTCATTGGCTATTCTTATGTCTTGGAATTTCATATTACCTTGCAGGTTCCTGATGTTTCTAAATAGGTTGGCCTTTATATCTGCAGTAGATAACTTGACTAGCATAGGTCTAGCTTTTCCCTGGATAAATTTACCCAGCCTAATCACTTTAATTATTATCTCCTGGCCACTAGTGATGCCACATTCTTTTATTAGGTTCAGTGCATAAGATTTATCACTCTCAATCCTTTCGCTCATTGTTGGGGATCCAGATTCTGGCACACCATATACCACTATGTTGTTTTCCCTCTTCTTTCTCTCATTTAGTGCCTCTATATGTTCACCAACAGGCTCTGGTTTCCCTGTGTTGTCTTCCTGCTTCACTTTAGTGGCACTACCTGTTACCCTGCCAGAATCTACTTTCCCTTCTAAACCCACTGTTCTAGCCTCCAAGGTTTCCAGTCTGTTTTCAAAACCCCTGTCATTCTTCGGATTTGTTTCCAACACATCATTTATTTCAATAGATTTTGCCTCCAATATACCCATCCTGACTTCTATCTCCTTATTCTTATCATGTTCTTGTTCTGTAAATTCTCTCAGTTGATTTACTTTGCCTTCCAATTCATTTTGACTGGTCATTTGTTCCACCTGTTGTTGCTCAATTCTTTTTATGTACTTGTGCAGTTTAGCACAACCCTTCTTGCAGTGACTGCATTACCACATCAACACTCCTTCTGCCTCCTCATCTTGCATAAAGTTATATACCTCTTCTGGTAATTTTTCACATTCGATGTGGAACCACACTTCACAAACATCACAGCTAGCTGCTTTCTCGCTATCCTTGACTGTTAATCCACATTCTCCACACATTTCGGTGTTCTTCTTTCCTCCATATGTTTGTTGACACTTGCCTTCCTTCTCCTGTTGCCTGAGTCCTTGGTCTCACTTATTTTGACTTCTTCTTTATTGTATATACAAAAATTTGATGGGCTTACCTTCCTGTATGCCTCCGTATATTCACAGAACTGCGTATCTACTTAATTTCCACTTATGTTCCTTTGTTATTCATAAATTTGGGCAAAATTACAAGAGCTCTATCTTATCCTATCCTATTACCAGGACTTCCACACTCTCTGCCAGATATAGCATGGTGAAGCAGATTTGACTTCCTGTCTTAAAATACAAAATTGCAAAAATATAACTCTTCAAGACAATGACATCATTGAAGGTAGGATACATGAAATGCATATTTTTCTTTTAGATACACTCGACATAATTTTAATGTCCAAGGTTCCAATACATTTTTTATTTAAGTGTGACATTCAGTCTTGATACAAATGTTTTTGTGTATATAAGTAATGTATGCTTAAAAACACTGAGAAATGGCCCCAGGAGTATGCAGTGGGTGAATATATGCTGCGATTCATAAAGATGAAATGGTATGGTAACGGCAACTGCCAAGATGATGTAAATGTCTGCCTGTGGTTACTTCATCACTCCTTGGATCTGCTCAATGGAGGAACTGTACTACTACTACCACTTTTTAGGTTTTATGCTACTCAACAGCTAACCAGAAACACCTAAATCATCCACAACTTACTTCTATGTTGTAAAAGATGGGCATAAAATCTAGGCACCCTCTCAAAGATTTTTGTTGCATTAAGAAATTTAAATATTGTATACAATATTAATGAAGACTCACAAAATATTTTATTAATGTAGTGTAATCCAATATATAATTTTGGAATATCATGTACATATTATCAGCTCACCTCACAATTTAAGTCTTACATTTATTTATTGCTGTATTATTTACTTTATTACTTCTCTTTGTACAATTGAAAAATATTTATATATGCACAATAATTATAAACAGTATTTTATGTGGCAGCCTAGGCTACTTTTCGAACCACTTGGTTATTTCGGATTCATTCAGAGTACAAATTGTGTAATTAAATTTTTGAAAAACATACAAATTAAGGCCAAATCCAAATTATGAAGATCCGGTTTAATGGGAGTACAGTGTATAGTAGCACTGAAATGTCAGATTTATTTTGATGTATTAAATCTAATAATGCCAAATATTTTTGTATTTCTATATTAATGTCTAAATGTGCTTAACGGTAATACAGTATTTCTATGTCCAAAAATTTATTGCTTTATGAAGTATTTAAAGTCCAAAAATTTAATGCTTGAAAAAATATTCGAAGTCCAAAGATTAGAAATTCTTGTCTGGTTTTATGAGTAAAAAATTCATGACATTCTTGAGAGTTTCAGCTTGGCATCTCCGTTTTCATGTTTATTATAAGCCACAACGGACTTCCTGGATGTGGGGAGAGTAACTCAGTGGGCCAGTAAGACGCCTACTGAATATTCTCCCCTACTTCCAGGTTGTGCTTGTGTTTTTTATTTTATTGGTTCATGATAATTTGAAGGGCTAGTTTCCAAACACTCATCGATTTAATATTAGCTAAATTTATTTGACGCTAAACCTGGACAAAAGAAAAATTGACTATTGCAGTAGCAGTGGACCTTGCCAGAGAAGCTGCGCAGAGTGTTACAGCTGCAGGCTTCTCCGAGACCACCAACGACGACATCCTGGAGGTGATAAGGGATCCTGATGTGACTACCGACGAGATGGTAGATGATGATGACGTCAGTGAAGAGGCAGGTGGTGCGTCATCCCAAGAAGAACGCCGCTTATCCCATAGTAATGTTAGGGGTGCCATCGAGCGTATCGAGAAAGCCAAGCTCCTCCTTTCCGACGACCCTGACGCAAACAGGTATGAAATCTTCACTACCCAGCTGTTGCAGACTATGGAGCCCTACTTCAAGGTTTATCACGACAACATAAACACCAGCCGTCAGCAAAGCATAACAGAGTTCTTCGCCCGCAACCTACCACAGCCAGCCCAAGCCAGTGATAGTGACAGAGGTAGAGACAGTGAAGATGACTTTGAGGGATTTGTCAGGGAGGCCCTGACAAGTGTGGATGACAGTGATGGTGACTCACCTGAGGGCCAGTAGCCTGCCCTCTGCCTCGGAACCAGCCTCCATTCCCCTACGCCGACCCATCTCTTCTACTAACGTAAGTGTTAACCCCAGCCTTGTTTTTTCTAACCTAACCTTCATTTTATTCTTCTCTTATTGACTGTTCCCTTCTATATTATGTGTGGGTGAATACCATCATAAAGTTAAGAGGTTATTTTTAGTAAAACGTACGTATTGTGTCGGGAAAAAGTGGAGTTTGGGGGTCGGCCTGGTCTCTATTTCAATTAATCCCATATGTTATGTTGTTCACTTTACGCGTTTCTCACTTTACGCGGGCCGCCGTGGGTTGAATTAACCGCGTAAAGTGAGGGTTCACTGTACAATATATATATATATATATATATATATATATATATATATATATATATATATATATATATATATATATATATATATATATATATATATATATATATATATATATATATATATATATATATATATATATATATATATATATATATATATATATATATATATATATATATATATATATATATATATATATATATATATATATATATATATATATATATATACAGTTGTACCCCGCTTAGCGCGGTCAATTGAACCTACAGGGTACCGCGTTAAGTGAAAACTGCGTTAAGTGAACAACAGAACATATGGGATTAATTCCAATAGAGACTGGCCCGACCCCCAAACTCCACTTTTTGACGACACACTACTATGTTGTAGTAAAAATATTATCTTAACTTTATGATTAGGTATTAGTAGAAAAGATGGCTGGGCACACGGGGATGGGGGGTTGGTTCCGAGGCACAGGGCAGATTATTGGCCCTCACCTGTATCACTTGTATCAATTGTATCACTATCCACCACAGAGGCTTGCAGGACCTCTTTGTCAAACCCCTCAAAGTCCATATAAGTCCATATCCTCACTATAATTATCACTATCACTGACTTGGGCCGGTTGTGGTGGGTGGCGGGTAAAGAACTCGGTAATGTTTTGATGACTCGGCGACCTTGTGCGCACCATTTTTGCGCCTCTTACACAACATGGCGGATGGCGGGAGGTTTGGATCCAAAAATGGCGCGGCTTGCCAGCTGCTCTCCGCGTAATGGCGTTCGCGACCGCGGAATGTAAGAATGTTAGGTTCTGGCAAGGCACCGCGTTAACGGTGAAACGCGGAATGCGGGACCGCTTAATGTGAGGACCAACTGTATATATATATATATATATATATATATATATATATATATATATATATATATATATATATATATATATATATATATATATATATATATATATATATATATATATATATATATATATATATATATATATATATATATATATATATATATATATATATATATATATATATGGTGTCCCATAAGTTTCCATACAATGTATCACCAACGCCATTACAAGCATAACTCCAGCTGTGCTTGAACGTGTTCTTCAGCAGTGGAGGACACGTATTGAAGAGTGTTTTCAACAGAATGGTAGTCACGTAGAGCATATTATATAAATAAAAATGGATTTTCATATAAAATTTATTTTTCCTATGTATGGAAGTTTATGGGACACCCTGTATATATCTTGATAAAATCTCAAGGGAAAAGGGAAGCAACGGAGCACCTTAGCTTTCGTCTTTATTCAAGACATCTTCAGTGGCAACTGGATTACATGGACAGAGAGAGGCTTAAATATACAGGGTGACCTTATAAAACATGAGGTCAGGTCATAATGATGTCATCCACTAATCCCCCACACCAACACACACGTAGAGCGTAGAGGAGCTTTAGAGAAGGGGGTGACGTGACTAGTCAGGTCAGGTCAAAAATATATATACTGTATATATATATATATATATATATATATATATATATATATATATATATATATATATATATATATATATATATATATATATATATATATATATATATATATATATATATATATTTCATTAGCCCAATAAAGCACGCGGACTTCTACATACAATCAACACCTCAACCCACCAGGATTCGAACCCACGGCACACAAGCCTATGACTGTGACCGGGGAACGCTAACCACTGGACCACCAGGATACTAAAAGCAGTCCTAGACTTTGTTATATTTCACACAAAGCCTGTTCAACGAGCTTATGGCGCCGTGAACCTCTAATGGGGACCACCCGTATCACTTAGGTGGTCAGAGTAACGTTTTACCAAATCCGGCTTCGAAACACGAGGATCCATATATATTTCATTAGCCCAATAAAGCACGCAGACTTCTACATACAATCAACACCTCAACCCACCAGGTGGTCCAGTGGTTAGTGTTCCCCGGTCACAGTCATAGGCTTGTGTGCCGTGGGTTCGAATCCTGGTGGGTTGAGGTGTTGATTATATATATATATATATATATATATATATACAGTCAACCCTCGCTTTACGCGGTCCCACATTCCGCGTTTCCACGTTTACTCGGTACCTTGCCGAAACCGGAATGCTCACATTCCGCGGTGCGTGTACCCCTTTACGCGGAGAGCGGCGCGAGCAGGGTGCGCACAAGGTCGCCCAGTCATCAAAACATTACCGAGTTCTTCACCTGTCACCCACCACAGCCAGCCCAAATCAGTGATAGTGATAATTATAGTGAGGATATGGACTTTGAGGGGTTTGACAAAGAGGCCCTGCAAGCCTCTGTGGTGGATAGTGATACAAGTGATACAGGTGAGGGCCAATAATCTACCCTCTTCCTCGGAACCAACACCCTATCCCCGTGTGCCCAGCCATCTTTTCTACTAAAGTAAGTGTTAAAAAACCTAATATTATTGATATTTCTCTTAATTATTAATTGTGTGCATACCATCATAAAATTAAGAAGTTATTTTTACTACAACGTAGGTATTGTGTCTGAAAAAGTGGAGTTTGGGGGTCGGCCCGGTCTCTATTTCAATTAATCCCATATGTTATGTTGTTCACTTTACGCGTTTCTCACTTTCTGCCAATTGTAAAGTGAGGGTTCACTGTATATATATATATATATATATATATATATATATATATATATATATATATATATATATATATATATATATATATATATATATATATATATATATATATATATATATATATATATATAACTGTATACTGTATATATATGTAACTGTAAAGTTCTATACGTAAAGTGAAATACAGTTAATCCGGGAATAGGTAAATGAAAACATGAAATGACATTTCGACATTTATTAATGTGAACTTAATTTCTTGATAAATATTTCTTTCAGCAGAGGGCAGCTCAGCATGGCATTACAGGGCAGCGGCCAGCTCAGCACGGCATTACAGGGCAGCGGCCAGCACGGCAGTACAGGGCAGCGGCCAGCACAACAGTTCAGGACATCGGGGCATCGGCCAGCACAACAGTTCTGGGCAGCGGCCAGCACAACAGTTCAGGGCAACCTTTTATAATAAATACTTAAAAGGTTCAAAAATTTTCTCAAGTGCTAATGCTTTGAAATCATTTGCATTTTGATAGTCCAGATATTTAACATTATATTAGATAATAACAGGTCTGCTTACCAACCGTGAACACATTTAGTTTTAATTTTTTATGAACCAATCAGCTATTAGAAGAGTGGCAGGGCCTATGGGCTAGGTTAGGATGAGAAGAGTATAGCTACCTGTATTGAGACAGCTATAGATGCAGGCAAGTCAATAATGCCAAGATTGACACCAGTTATTTGTGTAACTTAGCCCCTACTCCTCGGGCTAGGGTGCCGCTGGGCGTATCCCCCATCAGGGTAAATCGAGAAAAGTCAACTTTTCCAAAAATATTTTTTAATTTAACCCTTAAGCCCCGGGTTAACAATGGCGGGAAAATAGGCGGATGTTCTGGAACGTCACCTGGGACCTAAGGGTTAAACGATAAAAAAATGTAAGAAATACTACATATTGAACCTCTAGAAACTTCCCTGAGGCCGCAGTGGCGAGGGAGATAAGGGGACAGTGTTGTTTTAACTGCTAGCGATTGTGGTCACTACGCACTTAGCGGCCATTTTCAGTTTGCCTTTGTGTCTGGGATGGCCAATTATGTGTATATTTACTGATCATAATACTTATTTCCTATAAATAATTTATTTAGAATTTATTTTATTTGCATTATTTTCCATAAAAAGTGCTCGGCGACACACACGCAGTTTGTCGCCAGGCTGTCTGGCTGTTTTCGTGTTTAGGAGAGTAAGTAATGTACAGTATATAAATAATTATCGGATTAATAATTCCACAAATAAATACATTTATAACATAATAATAGCATTAATTTCCAGTAATACTGCACTACACTACTTTTAGTGTGAGAGGTTGAGAGACAACTCTCAATGGCGACAGGCTAATGTGTACTAACCTCACTGAGCTCACCCACGCTACCCTGCGTGTGGCGTGACCACCTTATAATCTGTGCTGGGCATTCAAACAGTGGCGTGGAAATTGCAAGCGTTCTTGAATGTCACCCAGGTCGGGCGTTCAGGAACGTCACCTGGGGCTTAAGGGTTAAGAGGGATTCAGTTACTGTATGTCATGGGTTGCGTTAGGCTTACCCACACAATCAACTCCAAAGTTTGTTTTACTAGAGATAAGGCACCCGGCGAGCCATGACTACCACATATTTTTTCCATTAGTGGTATGTTAGCCAGTTTATTGAGGGAGGCCATTGAGACAGTGTCGTACTGTTCATCGCTTCACGCCCCAAAACCACATTTTGAGTAGTATCCCCTCGGCCATGGGTTAGTTAAGATGTCGTCCCCACCCTCTCCCTCCTGAAGGGAACGGGACACCACACAGTCCTCCACCGCCACCCCGTCCTGTGGACCGTCTGTGACACGAGACTAAGTGTGCTAACCTAGGTTGTTATCCCCTTGGAAATATCACGTGTGGATGCCTGGTTGCGACAAGAGCAATCCAGGTTGGCCTATCAAACCTACAGTAAATGGTTAATCAATTCATGCTTACAGAGTTCTCCTGCACGACACCTGTCTACAGTGACCGTGATCGACACGAGATTAAGTGTGTTAACCTAAGTTTGTATTCCCCGTGGAAAAATCACGTGTGGAAGCCTGGTTACGACAAAAGCAATCCAGGTTGGCCTACTGAACCTAACTGGTTAATCAAGTCACGCTTACCAGTTCCTCTTGCCGCGACAACCGTCTACAGTAACTGTCGGTGATGCGAGACTATGTGTGGTAGCCCAAGATAACCTTTTTGTTGTTATTCCCCGTGGGAAGAAGTTCTTGTGCGGAAGCCTGGTTGCAACGAGCAATCCAGGCTGGCAGTAAATGTATCACTTGAAGAATTAAGGCTATGTTAAGTCATACCCATAGTAGAGTAATCAAATGTGTCCCCAAGTTGAAAAGTCCCTCTTTTAGAAGATTAACTTTATTACAGCGTGAATATGAGTGACTCGTATATCCATGCAAATTGTAACTCATTGTATGGAAGCTTGCCAAATAAATGTAAGTGCAATTATCTGCCTGTATCTGTGATCCTATCTTATTATTACTAAAGGTAATGACTGATTGGTTATGACAGAGTACAACCAATAACTTAGATGGATGTTGGAAATCAATGGAACTCATTAAATCATCATTTATCAAGTATAAATCATGGAATGTCGGGTGGTGGAGTGAATTTCTACGTAGATATGCAATAATCTCCTGTAAGTAACCAGTGTGAAGGTATCGAACTCTACGGTAAGAAATATAAGAAACACAATATATTATAATCTTCATATAATATAATCCACACCATAGACATTACATAAGAAAATCCATGACACTGTACTTATGCTAGACAGGACCTTAGAGCCAGCCAGGTGAAGGTACTTGCAGGGGAAGAAGGATTTTAAATATAAATGACATAAAATTAAACTAAAGGCAAGAAACTTGATCCTTGTTGGATGTATTTATAGATCTCAGAACTGCAGTGTTTAAGCCAAGACAGTTTACAGGCATTAATACACAACACGGCATTATGGGTGACTGACTGGAGGAGTGAAATTACACTGAGAAACAGGAATGCAGACGCTATGCTGAATATAGCCAGTTAAGTAAACTGTACTTGATTGATAAAATGTACTGTATGTATATGTTCTGGGTACCAAGTTCTATCTACAGGGGCGAACACAAACACCTGTAGAGTTTTCGTAAGTTCTATTTACTGGACAAACAGAGATACACAAGCGAGGCGGCTCTCCCTGATCTGTCTGGGGGATCAACTAGCCTTTCAGGCGATATGTGGGAAGCGATACATTAGCAGCTTCCATATGTCGCCAGGCACATTAATTAAGCGTGTGGGACATGGTAAATACATTGCCACACGCTGCTAGCTAGGCTGAATAAATAATGTATATAAATGGAGCACATACACTGTATACTCCAGATCAAACCCACTGACTCAAGGAATACAGAGACCATTCAGATTGTAGAAAGACTGAGTAAGATTGCCAGTCTGATTCCAAATGAGGTCAAGTCGAAGTCTCAAAAGTTTTCTATGTGTAGGCATATCAGACGCAGACTCGGAACAGGACAAGATAGAGGTGTTAAATAGGATTCAAAAGAGGATGCAATCCTCCATGTGTTTGAGGAGTGACAACACTGACATGTTTTCAGTCAATTACAGTATCAGAAACAAATTATCAAAACTAAAGGTACAGTCTCGTTCAAGATTCTTCGAACATTGCTGGAGGCCGTTTGTTTACTATAGTACGTAGTAAAATTTATGAATGAATGTAAAAGCCCAACCATTAATTAAGCAACGGGGAACTTAGTAACCAATCACCGATCACTTACATTCATTCATAATTTTTACTACGTACTATAGTAAACAAACGGCCTTGAGTTGCCAGGAGTTTCCAGCAGTATTCGAAGAATCTTGAAAGTGACTGTACAGAGAGCCCTGACGGGGAGCTTCCAGTGTTAAAGAATTGTGTATGAATAATTACAGTACTGTATAGGCTAGTGAGTGATCGGCATGTTGTGTAAAAGAAAGCCAATTGGTTTATGCCATTGTCCAGCTTATAGGCAGGCAAGGTGTGACTTAATATAAGTTTATAAACCTGTAATAGGGCATTACCTAGTCTGGTGTACATAACTAGCAGACGCCTGCCCCACTAGAGGTCACAACTTAAGGTTGATGCGACAAGTCCAGAAAACTCTCGGCAATTTTTTCTTAAGCGAGTTGCGACTGTTGGAACAATATGTAGTGACGGCACTGAGTGAGCTCTTTCGTGACTACAGTACTGTACTTGCCAATGGTGGTGTAGCAGAGCCATTGCATGTCCAGTATTTGCTAACAGTGTGTAACAGCCAGTACTTGCCAACAGTGTGTAACAAAGCCAGTACTTGCCAACAGTGCATAACAGAGCCAGTACCTGCCAACAGTGTGTAACAGAGAGCCAGTACATGCTCCATACTTGCCAGTGTCCAGATGTGATCGACCACTCCTAGACCCCAGTTGCAAAACTATTGAAGCAGACTTGACATTTCACTATAGAACAAAACTTTCTTACCTCAGTAAATATGGAGTTGCTGTACTATCCACGCTGACAACCACTGCTGCAGCAAACTGGCCTTTGACACCACAATAACAACCAACTGGATCAGTCATCTGTAAAGAAAAGAAAAATCTTACGAATAACATACCGGGTACTTTTAATACTCAAGTTAAATCAATTCTGTAACATATAAGACCAAAACATAAGTACTATGATGAATGTTACTAAAGTATGATGAACATTACTAAAGTATGATGAATGTTACTAAAGTATGATGAATGTTATTTAAGTATGAACGTTACTTGAGTACGATGAATGTTACTGAAGTATGATGAACATTACTTAAGTATGATGAACATTACTAAAGTATGATGAACGTTACTAAAGTATGATGAACGTTACTTAAGTATGAGGAACGTTACTAAATTATGATGAACATTGCTTAACTATGAGGAACGTTACTTAAGTATTATGAACGTTACTAAAGTGTGAGGAACGTTACTAAAGTATGATGAACGTTACTTAAGTATGAGGAACGTTACTAAAGTATGATGAACGTTACTTAAGTATGAGGAACGTTACTAAAGTATGATGAACGTTACTTAAGTATGAGGAACGTTACTAAAGTATGAGGAATGTTACTTAAGTATGAGGAACGTTACTAAAGTATGAGGAACGTTACTTAAGTATGAGGAACGTTACTAAAGTATGAGGAACGTTACTAAAGTATGAGGAACGTTACTTAAGTATGAGGAACGTTACTAAAGTATGAGGAACGTTACTTAAGTATGAGGAACGTTACTAAAATATGAGGAACGTTACTTAAGTATGAGGAACGTTACTAAAATATGAGGAACGTTACTAAAATATGAGGAACGTTACTAAAGTATGAGGAACGTTACTTAAGTATGAGGAACGTTACTAAAGTATGAGGAATGTTACTTAAGTATGAGGAACGTTACTAAAGTATGAGGAACGTTACTTAAGTATGAGGAACGTTACTAAAATATGAGGAACGTTACTAAAATATGAGGAACGTTACTAAAGTATGAGGAACGTTACTTAAGTATGAGGAACGTTACTAAAGTATGAGGAACGTTACTTAAGTATGAGGAACGTTACTAAAGTATGAGGAACGTTACTAAAGTATGAGGAACGTTACTTAAGTATGAGGAACGTTACTAAAGTATGAGGAACATTACTAAAGTATGAGGAACGTTACTTAAGTATGAGGAACGTTACTAAAATATGAGGAACGTTACTCAAGTACGCACAAAGTCTTAAGTACGGTTACCAAAACTAAACCATATTTCATTAATTTAAATAAAAGCATAAGCCAAAATAGTAAAGTATTCTCTAAAATAACTAGACAATGTGATTATGAGAGTTAATGACCATTAACCTATGCTTGTTCATAATAGTAATAAATTAACTCAGCCTTGTGTATCTTAATTTTTTTTAAATTCTATTTAAATTATTTCCTTTAAAAATAAATCAGTACAAAATCGACAAATAAATACTCTTAATATATCAACCTCTACACAAGTATAAATTTAACCGCTTAAATTAAAATTTAAACTTTCTGTACATTTAAGGAACAGCAGCTGTCGGGTGAGAGAGACTGTAGTGGATTTCTCCCCTACAAACGCTGTTTGTCGCTGAGTAGCCAACCCCGCGAATTCCCCAGTGTATGCCTCGTGGTCTAGGTCAACCAGTGCCGCCCACGGAGCGGGGGTCAACAATCTACCCACGCCTACCTCCGCTATAAAAGACCTGACCTCGTGGTGACCACTCTCTTCTTCTAGCTACAGCCGCAGCAAGCAACACCACCTCCTCCACCGCTGCCTGGCGGCCCTCGCTCCCGCCGGCGAGCATGGCGACCCACAAGCTGTCCTCCTCTGAGCATCCTCACCAACCAACTCTCTTTTCTACCTACACCAACCAGCCAGCAACACCTCCTCCTCCTCCACCTGCCTGGCGGTCCTCGCTCCCGCTGGAGAGCATGGCGACCCACAAGCTGGTCCTCCTCTGAGCATCCTCACCAAACAGCTCCCTCTTTTTTCTACCTACACCAACCAGCAAACAACACCTCCTCCTCCGCCTGCCTGGCGGTCCTTGCCCCCGCCGGAGAGCATGGCGACCCACAAGCTGGTCCTCCTCTGAGCATCCTCACCAACCAGCTCTCTTTTCTACCTACACCAACCAGCCAGCAACACCTCCTCCTCCTCCACCTGCCTGGCGGTCCTCGCTCCCGCTGGAGAGCATGGCGACCCACAAGCTGGTCCTCCTCTGAGCATCCTCACCAAACAGCTCCCTCTTTTTTCTACCTACACCAACCAGCAAACAACACCTCCTCCTCCGCCTGCCTGGCGGTCCTTGCCCCCGCCGGAGAGCATGGCGACCCACAAGCTGGTCCTCCTCTGAGCATCCTCACCAACCAGCTCTCTCTACATCACGCTTGTAACCACGCTGCGACTTCCCAGCACCAAGCTGCATTGTACATCCAATACAACATGTATACAGAGAGCACATTGTGAGTTTCCTTTTTCCATCCCATCCTGAGTGTGAACCCCAAACATCCCGTACCCTACAAATGGTGACCCCGGAGATTCGCACTCACACAGGATGGAGGAGAAACCGATCACTCTCCCAGTCTTCAAGCAACATGGAAGACTGGCTTATCCATGCAGAGGCAGCTCTCATCGGCTCTACAGCTACTGTCTCTACACCGCAGGTTAGACACCCTAGAGCAGCACTGCTTCTCTAAGCAGACACCAGCTCTTCTTCCTGCCCCAAGCACCACGTTCTACCGACCCCAGCACACCCGTCCTGTCTCAGATGCCGTCCCAGGCCCAGCAGTACCCCCTGCCGCTCCTCCTGATGCAGCCCCTGCTCCCGACGCGGCCCATGCGCCTGAGTGCGGACCAACACACCCCTCTTTTCTCCCTCAGGTACTCCCTGCCCATGTCCTGCACCCTGCTGCTGTCGTGGACCCAGCTGCTGTCACGAGCCCTCATCCGCTTCTGCTGACACAGCCCCTGCTCCTGACCCAGGCCCACACACCCCAGCAGGCGCATCTGACGACTCTGTACCTGCAGTGAGGGAAGCACAACATTCATCGCCTCCACACACCCTTTTTCTCCCTCTCTACTCCCACAGATATTGTGTATCTAGACAGTTGTCTCCTCTAGCGGCCGGCTCATCCACGCCATCGCCGTTATGGCTCACATGTGGCATGCACCGCCCGTTCTACCTCGCATGTGCCATGCAACCCTGCAGACAACAGGTCTCCTACACCGCCTGGAGGGAAGGAGGGAGTATTGTAGTGGATTTCTCCCCTACAAACGCTGTTTGTCGCTTAGTAGCCAACCCCGCGAATTCCCCAGTGTATGCTTCGTGGTCTAGGTCAACCAGCGCCGCCCACGGAGCGGGGGTCAACAATCTACCCACGCCTACCTCCGCTATAAAAGACCTGACCTCGTGGTGACCACTCTCTTCTTCTAGCTACAGCCGCAGCAAGCAACATCACCTCCTCCGCTGCTGCCTGGCGGCCCTCGCTCCCGCCGGCGAGCATGGCGACCCACAAGCTGTCCTCCTCTGAGCATCCTCACCAACCAACTCTCTTCTTCTAGCTACAGCAAGCTACTCCACTTCCTCCGCCGCTGCCTGGCGGCCCTCGCTCCCGCCGGCGAGCATGGCGACCCACAAGCTGGTCCTCCTCTGAGCACCCTCACCAACCAGCTCTGTCTACATCACGCTTGTAACCACGCTGCCACTTCCCAGCACCAAGCTGCATTGTACATCCAATACAACATGTATACAGAGATCACATTGTGAGTTTCCTTTCTCCATCCCATCCTGAGTGTGAACCCAGACAACCCATACCCCACAAGACGACTGGCAACATCCCCCCCACCCCGTTTCTATGGCAACGGCGCTCCGCTGGCGAATTACCTCTGTACATAGTCCCATCCTCCTGCCAAAAACCTTATCAGAACGAGGGAATATTAGAAAGTAAATCCAGTCTTAGTCTTACGTACAAATTTTTGGGTAAATTAATTTATATCATTGTGTAGAAAAGAAACATTGAAGAAAACTTTACAGAAAAATAAATGCAGGTAGAAAAAAGAATACTCTACAGTACTCCAAATTCTTCAGCTTCGGAAAGAGCCATGTGTTGACGAATCAAGGTTGCCATCATTTGCCTGCACTTTGGCACCTCAGCTACCCTGAGTGAATAGAGCACCTGAAATTGCCTGGCTTATACTTCAGATGGGCAAGGGAGGACCTAATTGAGGTGTATAAAATTCTCAAAGGGCACTACAGTACTCAGTCGAGTGTCCTTACCTGGAACTGGCAGACGCTTGCCCCACAAGGTGTCACAGCTCAAGTTTGAAGAAGCTGCAAGTCCAGAAAACTGTGAGGGTAAACTTTTTCTGAGTGAGAGTTGTGAACTCTTGGAACAATCTGCTAGTGTGTGTTGTGACAGTATTGAGTATGAGCTCTTTCAAGACCAGAATTGATGGGCACTGGAGCAGGTTCAGATACATTCAGGAGCCACTGTATGCCCAGTACTTGCCAACAGTGCATAACAGAGACGTAACCGATCGCCCAAGTGGCTAATGAGCCGATCAGTGGTGAAGAGGATAAAAGTAAAAGTAAAGATGCGGAAAATTTGTTTATGGGTGATGCTGGATTGTGTTGCATGGCATGACAAACAAACCAGATAATTATCCTAGGCCTTGTGAAATGGAGAATGCTATTACTGATAATGAACCAATGATGACCAATTAAAGGAGTGTTTGTCTCCTCTTGATTTTGGCATCCTGCACCAGTGAGAGAAAAGTTATCTCTCCCTTCTTTCAGTAATTGAAATTATTACCACAATACATACAAAAAAATTGTAAAACAAAAGAGGAAAAATTAAACATGACGGCTTTGGGAAAACATTTTATTAGAGAAAAAATATTCACTGATCAAGCAAATGGTTCCCAAGATTTGGCAGTAATTCTATAACCAAAAAAAAAAAAATTCTAATATGAATAGCTAACTCTGAACTCAGTCCTTCAGGAACTTTGCATGGTGGTCAAAATGATCCCCTATGAAAGATGATATGAAGTAATATGAATGGTCATAGTCTTCATCCATACGCATGACTATTGGAACTCCTCCATTAGCACAGGCAGCAACCAAGTTGTCAGGAAGTAGCTGGCCTTGTGTTAGGAAGTTATCTGCTTTGCCCTGTGAATTAATAACAAATTACTTATCAGAATTTGCCACGAAAAAATTTCAAATGAAATAATCATCAAAAACATAAGTCCATGTACAGTCTCACCCAAAATTTTGTTAACTCTCCCAGCCAGCTATTGCTGCACTGCCTGCTTCAGATGTATGAACTTGAGTCTGTTACTTCGAACCTTTAGATTCATTAGTATTGGTTTCATGTTCTGGTTGGTACCGAGACAGTTTCAAACATCTGAAGCAGGCAGTGCAGCAATAGCTAGCTGGGAGAGTTAACAAACGTTTGGGTGAGACTGTACAACTATATCTCTTGAATTTTTAAGTTTTCCCTTATAATATAATTCAGATCTTAAGAAGATTATGAACCCCTGGATATTTCAACCAATGATTACCTAATGCGAGCGTAAGTGTTGAATCATCAAGTGATCCCTAGAGCCTAAAGCTGTGAATGACCTCATTCCTGGTTTCAACTACTGTACCTCACATTGACAGATATATAAAGATTTACACATTCTCACCTGATCTACCATCACCTCCAGGGGGGGACCATTGTAATTCTTGGCCAGATCACAAGCATCATATGTCTTCCAGGCATCCTTGTTATCAGCACCAAGATAGCCAGTGAAAGCTTTAACTCCCCAAGGACAATTGACTGGGTTGCAGATTGGGGCAAAAGCTGATACAGATTTGTACTGGCCAGGATTCTTGAAGGCACAAATCAAAGCACCATGACCGCCCATGCTTTAGAAAAAGATATAAACTAAAGTGAGAAAACTTAATTTTTATTTAATATTAGTGAAGTCGTCTTATCCATTTCTTAAAATATCCATCATGTATATTAAAAATACATCATGTGTACAGTATTCTACACTATCCATATGCACTAATTAATTTTTTATTTCAATTGTTTATAAACTCCCTTGGCTTCATATATAGGGCCATTTTTTTTTATTTGAGAACCATTTATGTATTTTATATAGGTAAGGCCCCTCTAAGTTGGATGAGCTCTGGCTTAGGAGGCTTGTGTGGGGTGGCAGTTGGGAAAGGAGTCAGTTCCGTGTATTTGTTGTTGTGACCACTGCTCCACTGTGCACTCTGTTTTATTTTGTATTCAGTGCTTCCATGGTGCATTATTGCAGCCCCTATTAAGTTAAGTCCAAAGAGATCTATGTACAGTATAATATACTCATCACATCTGCAAGTTCCAAACTAGGTTTGAACTCTCAACACTAACAGGTACTAACACACAATACCATACTCCTTTCCCATTACAATTATTGCCTTTAAAAAGGGACATGAAAAGTGACAGCTTCCGAATCTATCAATTACACTCTTAAATCTCATCTTCTTCCATTAAAGCATATTGTATCTACCACACTTCCCACACCACAACTCCACATCAAGATTCATCTGCTACAATAAAAGTAAGTGTTGTGTAAATGTACAGTACTGTATACTGTTAACTTTACTATTATTTTTGGAAGGGATTTTCCCAGCAAAATGATGGTTGAAATCACCTTGGGGGAGGTTATGCACAACTTGGACAGCCCAAAGCCCCATATAGTCAGACTTAGGGATGTCTTACTGTACTCATCTAGGGTTCTTAAAAAAAATGACCACTGTATAGATACAGCACTAGAACATTTGGTCAAAAATGTATTCAAACAAATTTAAAAATGGTTGTCCCATATTATAACCTTTGGCAATCTCTAGGAAAGAAATTGTTATGTGGGTGAGTCCGGATTATATGGGAAGAAAATGTCTGTTAGAACATACAATGCCAGAGAAGAGTAGGTCAGGTTTGAAGGCTGTACCATAGGGCATAGGTGTACTGTACATACTGTATGTTCGTATCTACAAGAGTAAAATTGGACTTATGAACAAGCCTCAGGAACGTAACTCGTTTGTAAGTAGAGAAGCACATGAACAGACAAAAACACTACTGATGACTACTGGGAGAAATGGAATGGTGTTCAGAACTCTATCAATATAAAAAAAATGGATGGGGGCTCCTTACACTTACTATATACAGTACTGTAGTATTTATATTCACACTTACAATATAGTATTTAATTATACTTTATATTTAGTTTCACTTTTATTTAGTATTCACTTAAACTTATCTGAAGCCATAAAAAAGTAGTACAGTACAGTACTCCACTTCAACACAAACTCCTCACAGATAATGTGGTGAGGGGGTTAGAGTAGGCTATGAAAAATGAAATGGCAATTTTTTTTTTATGGGTATTAGCCCACCCGGGCACAGGTCACCGACCAACATAAGGGGCCTGGGGGGCGAAACTGTAATAGTAGTAATAATAATAGTAATAATAAATAAAATTTATAATAATGTAGTAAATAAAATTTATAATAAAAAATAAAAAATACTGTATAATAATAAAATACTACTACTACTAATAATAATAACACTAATAATAATAATAATAATAATAATAATAATAATAATAATAATAACAATACTGTACTGTAATAGTAATAATAATAAAGAAATACAAAAATTAAAAAAAAATAAATAAAAGTGAGAAACAATATACTGTATGTATGTTGAGTTGTCAATGGTAAGAGAATCAACTGAGACCCTGCAGATGTGTGTAAATGAGGCAGAAAGTCAAATCAGCAACCTGGAACTTGGTCACAATTTTTGTGATGCCATAGCAGCAGGGTCTACCATTAGACAACACATTATGCTTCCAATATCTTCCCAGGCGGTAGTACCTCCCTGTGTGGTAGCTGCCTACTACCTCGCGTATTAGGGCGAGATAAAATGGGCAAGAATTGAATTAAGGACATTAAATACCCTTGAAAAGGAGAATGGGTGTGCCTAGACTCAATGCAAAGTAACATTTCCTCTAGGCCCTAGAGGAAATGTTACTTTGCATTGAGGACACTGATGCTGACTTAAGAAATACTGTACTGTACAGTATCTTTAAGATAGGGAGGCCATCCCTTCAAGGTATTCTCAAAGATGTCAAAGTATCCTACCATATTCTTTTTTTTTTCAGAATTCTTAGAAAAAACAAGTGGTTGATACATTCAGAATGCTGAGAGAGAACATGAAATAAAGATGTGAAATTCAAATTATGTTTTGGATAATTACTGCATATGGGTATATGGATAAGCATATAAATTCAAAACAAAATACTGTAGTGATATGACTGAAATCTGCAATACAAAATTATAGTAAATAATAAGTTTGTCATAAAATAGGTAAAGAATATTTACCTATGTCCCATTATGCCAGCTTTATCACTATCCACTTTAAAATTAGCAGCAATAACAGCAGGGAGTTCCTTGGTGACATATGAGTACATGCGGTAGTTTGTTTTCCACTTCTCCTCGGTGGCATCAACATAAAAGCCAGCACCAGTGCCAAAGTCCCAACTGTCTTCTTCTCCTTCAATGTTACAACCCCCTTCATGGCAGAAGTTTAAAATTATAATTACAGTATTTTAAATCTAAATAGAATAAAACAAATCAATGATAATACTGGTCAACACAAAATTATATATTAATGTGATCAGATATAAATTAAAACCTTGAAAATAAACTTCACAATCATAGATATGACACAGGCCTACTGATGTTGGCCTCATTCAAGAAACTTGTAATATAGGACAGACTGGATAACTTACTGGGACTAGTATCAGGGGCCACCACAAGTAAACCGTGCTTGGCTGCATGCTGCTGAGATCCAGACTTGGTGATAAAATTCTGCTCAGTGCAGCACAGCCCAGACAACCAATATACCACAGGTACCTGTTCTATGATTTAAAATAAAATATATAAAATAAATTTCATTATACATACAATTTTTTCCATGATGTGACAAATTGAAAATGACTGGAAATCATCTGAGAGTGAACACACACCATACCAAGTTATGATACAAACTGTGTTTTAAGTAAATTACCACTGTATCTTACCCGAATCTGCCTGTGGGGGAATGAACACTCCAAACTTCATGTGGCATCCAAGTTCTTTACTGAAAATAAATAGGAAAATCAAAGGCTGTTATTTATTTATAATTTGGTTATGAAGTAGCAAATGGAGATGTAAGTTTATTAAAGGGTAAATATCCTCAACAATTATTAAATGCAGTATATCTGCTCTGAATCTTACTGAATATACAATATATGGTATCTGTCTCACTGTAAATACCGTACAGTACAGTACCTGCATGTTCCATTTAAATCAATGTATGTTCTATAAAACTAGAGCAAATGATAGATACATTATGCCATTGCACAAGACTGATGGGGATATGACATCCAAGAAACTATGATTACAAATCGGTGTACAATTTTTTTATATGGGGAATAGCCCACCTGGGCACAGGTCATCGACCCAAAACGGGGCCTAGGGGACGAAAAAATAAGAGTTAAAAGAAATTAAAAATATAAAAGAAAAAGATTATGTTAATCTAAGCCACAAAGATGCTGGAAAACCATCTTTTTAAAGTGAGACATAGTATGAGTATGGGAACACAGAAGAAAGCAGAGCATTCCACAGTCTGGCTGTGTGAGGAAAGAAGGAGGTACTATAACGGTTTATTCTAGTGTGACCGCCAGCCACAGAGAAACGGTGGGCACCGCGGCAAGATGAGCATTACGAGCCCATTGCCTTGCTGGCGGTACACTGAACATTGCCCGTTAAAGTACCTGTAAAAGAGAGGAGTGAAGCAACATTGCAGAGAAGAGAAAGGGAAGAAAGATTATCAACTAAAGGTGGAGAGTCAATAAGATGAAATTCCCTTCATTCCACCCTATCGCACAGTTGGACAGAAGAAGAGCCACCCCAGATATGAGAGCAGTACTCCAAGTTAGGATAAATGAATCCCTTATAAACTTGAAGCAACTGCTCAGAAATGAAGTAGCTACGGCATCTCTACAGTATTCCCAGCTTTCGGCATGCAGCTTTAGCAATGTTGTGGATGTGTGGCTTCCATGACACACAGTATTAGAGGAAATGGTGAGGCCTACAGAAATAAGTGACACAAGTTTCTTTGACTTATAAACTAGAAAATAAATATATAGTCTGTGAAAATAAATATAAGTACACTGCATCTTTATTAGGTAAAATTTTAATTTCGGTCATCTATGTATACAGCTACTCCTTGACTTACAACCTACTCGACTTACGACCACCCGGACATACGACCGCCCCAGTCGTACCAATTTTTTTTCAAATTACGTATTTCCGAGTCCCGACGTTAGTGATCGCGCTGTGTACTGATAAAATTTTCGTTTGTAATTCCCTTTAAAATGGCTGGCATGCTTAAAAGTGAGAGTTTTGTGGTGCTGAGAAGAAAAAGTCACCCATTTTAGATTTTCTATGTATTATTTAAGCATTTTCGACTTACGACCTGGATTTGGGTCCCAAACCCTGTCATAAGTCGAGGAGCATCCGTATTTAAATACCAAAACAATCCTAACGTATTATAACCTAACTGATTTCCCTGATGACGGACCTGAGTACTGCATCAGATTTTGTTGACAGTTATCCACTATGCTATAAAATATCACTCAAACAAAATAAAACACCTACACAACTTTACTCACCACACCAAGCATTTGCTATGGCAGTGAAAAAGAATTCGGACAAACCTATCATGAGAGTAGACTTTCTGCCATCCACCAAAAGCCTTATTGGAGCTTTCTTCTTTGATGGTTGTCATGGTAAAAATTCTCCGAGCTGAAAAACAAAACAAAAACAACAATAGCACATACAGTATACTGTACACATACAAAATCTTGAAGCTTCTGTAAATATTTTAGAAAAGAAAAAATGGTGGCATAAATTAATGGCATTTACGTGCTTTATGATTTGAAGAATAACTATACTGCATATGACTGAATTTACAGAACTGTACAGTACTTAGAAAATGACCAGTAGGATGCCACCACCATCCCTTTGACAAATTAACAAAAATAATCACTATACTGTAACTACCTGTATAGCAATACTCTATGGTTCAGTCCAACAAAATTCAGAGTTCAGTAACAGTTTTGTCAATTACTAATAAGACCAACAAGATTGGCCTTCTTGCCAGTGCCTAAGTATTGTATGTGCAGCCATTTTTCATTGTTCCCTGCCATTTGGATTCTATACATTAAAAGATTTTGGTTAAGATCCCTAAAACCACAAACAATTCCTCAGTCCATGTTGTCTCTACCAGAACTTTTGGGGGTGCAGCATGTGAATTATAAATATCTCCCAATTTATCTTCTTAATATGTATGAATACTGTACTGCATAGTGAGAGGCCAGCTGTCTGTACTGTACTAATCTTAATAAGGAAAGGGTAGCTACTTAGGAATTAGGACTATATTAACGAGAATATTGGGTCATGATTAAATGTTCACTTCAGGTATTTGTAAATTCTAATGGAAATTTGATCAAAATATCATAGATGTATTTTGATAAACTACCAACTTTTTCTTCTAAATTACTGTCATTTTTCGTTAACCACCCATCACCTTTTTTCACATGAAAAATATATTTTTTCGCTAGTTTTCTAGCAGATTGTTCCAAGCGTTCACAACTCTCACTCCGAAAAAGTTTGCCCTCACAGTTTTCTGGACTTCTGGCTTCCTTCACCTCAAGGCTCGAGCTGTGACCCTTTGTGGCAGCCATCCGCCAGCACCAGGTAAGTACACTCGATATACCTACTGATTATTGAGTTAGGGTCACCTCGCACCCAAGACAACTCATACCCAAGATAAATCGTACTCAAAAAAGTTAACTTGTACCCAACTCAAGCTTTGATTTCTTGGGGATGGAAGCACAGACTTTATGTAGTACTGCAGAATACAAAGTAACCCCAATTAGACAATGAAAGTGGCATTTTGATGACAACACTTCGCCAGAGTCTATATGTGGGCTGCAGGCTAGAATGGTTGCATATAAAAATGTACACAATCAGTTCAGAGTAGTGACAGAATGCAGCCAAATGGATAATGATGACATCAGAAATGAGACTCACAAATTTGCAGAAATGTATCCCATGATTAATAAATGTAAGTAAGAACTGGACGTATTATTGTTTTGTTAATTCTCAGCTTTGTGTTTTGACCTCGCTTGGGGAAAGGTCATGGCAGACTTAGCTCCTGGGGATAAATTGTTGGCAATGGCTAGTGCTACTTGTGAACAGGGCTGTGCCCTTCTGAGGGCCGAGCTACTGGCAGAGTTAGTGAAGGTCAAAGAAAAAAACTTGAAATTAAAGGAAGTGATAGCAAGGATGAAGGAAGAAGACACGATACAAGGAAAGCCCGTGTCTGACGAAAACTCAAGCAAATGGAAGGTTGTGAGGAGAGGAACGACCAAAATGGTGATGAGAAAAGACACCAAGGAAACGACAACATCTAAGTGTAAAAACTCCTTTAGTCCTTTGATAGACGAATTGGATGTTACCATAGTCAGGAACAAGGCTGACAAGGAAGGTACGAAAACCTTAATTGTTGGCAATTCCCAGGTACGGTACCTGGATAGAGCTTTTTGTGGTAAAAATAAAAATAGGATGAGGGTTTGTTTGCCAGGAGCTGGGGTGGGGGATATAGTTGACAGGAAGGACAACATCTTGTCTGGTAATGGAAACAAACCCATTATCTGCCTCAGTGCAGGAGGCAATGATATTGGCTGGTGTAGGAATGAGGAGCTTCTTGATAAGTTCAAGACAGCTATAGAACGTATTAAGTTGAAGTGAGGGATCCCTATCATATGTGGTGTCTTGCCTAGAAGGAGAGTTGGCAATGTATGGTTGTAAAGGGCAGTTGGTGTCAACAGCCGTCTTGACAGGTATTGTAAGTCAATATCAGTCCCATTCGTTGACAACTGGGACAACTTTTACGGCAGAAGAGACCTTTATGCTAGGGATGGGGTGGCAACCCTGGCTGGCTCTCTCGAGAGGGCAGATCAAAAGATGTCGAAGTCTTTAAACTGCTAGGGGAACATATGGGCAAGGAGGTGGAGGAGACTGCAGTGGGTAAACAAAGTGAAAGGTTACAGGAAAATAGTGATTGGAATGATGACAAAACTAAATAAGGCAGGGAGTTAAAACCTAAACGAGTCAAAGAGAGGACTCAGAACACGACCAACTTAAATGTCTACTACGCAAACAGTAGGAGTATGAGAAACAAAATGGATGAAATCAGGGCCTTGGTATGTACCGAAAAAATTGATAAAATAGCATTCACTGAAACATGGATAAACTCACTCAAGAGAGTTACCTGCCGAATACCAAATTGCAGGCTACAAATTATTCCATACTGATAGGCAGATTAGGAAAGGAGGCGGAGTAGCAGTCTATGTCAGGGATAATCTGAAGTGTGAAATAAATAAGGAAATAAAAACTGAGAGGAATACAGAAACAATTTGGATAGAATTAATCGATGATAGGGAAAAATTAATCGCAGAACTAATACTGTATATAGACCTCCTAATCTTGATAAGAGTTAATGAGCGACTTATTTAGGATGAAATGTGCAGGGTTTCCAGGCATAGCAATAAGAACATAAGAAAATAAGGAGTCTGCAATAGGCCGGTTGGCCTGTGCAGGGCAGCTCCTGCCGAGAGTTACTACCACTCTCTATCATCCCTGAATCTATCTAGCCTCCTTTTAAAACTTTCCAGCATTCCAGCACTTACTACAAAGTTGCTAAGCTTGTTCCACTCGTCCACCACCCTATTTGTGAACCAGTTCCTTCCTACCTCCCTCCTAAACCTAAACTTATCCAACTTAAATCCGTTGCTCCGAGTCCTATCCTGCTCGGATATTATAAGAACTTTATCTATATCTCCTTTATTAACTCCTTTCACCCACTTAAATACCTGTACAGTACTTCTATAATATCTCCCCACACTCTTCGTTTTTCTAGGGAATACAAGTTTAGTTTCTTTAACCTATCTTGATATGGAAGGTTTCTAAGCCCCGGAATCATTTTCGTCATTCTTCGCAGCACCGACTCCAGTGAATTGATATCCATTCTACAATAAGGGCACCAGAACTGAACCGCATAATCGAGGTGCGGCCAGATATAGTTGCAATAAGACCTCTGCACTCTTATTACTTACACTTCTAGACATAAAACCTAATACTCTGTTTGCCTTATTTCGAACATTAACACACTGTTTTCTAGGCCATAGGTCCGGGCATACAAGTACCCCTAAGTCTCTTTCACAAGTCGACTTTTCTAGGTTGATGTTGTTAAGGCTGTATACATTGACAGTATTTGTTCTTCCAATATTAAGTACACTGCACTTGTTGGTGCTGAATTTCGTTTGCCATTTTTCTGACCACTCCTGCAGTGTATTTAAATCCTCCTGTAGTGCATTTGCATCCTTCCCTGAATTAATCTGCCGCCCTATTTTGGTGTCATCCGCAAACTTGCTTATGTCACTGCTGATCCCAGTATCTAGATCACTTATGTAGATTATGAACAAGAGTGGGCCCAGTACTGACCCCTGGGGAACCCCACTGGTTACACAGCCCCACTCAGATTTAAGACCATCTACGCTGACCCTCTGCATTTTATCGTTGAGCAATGATTTTATCCAATTTAAAACTTTCCCCTCGATACCATGAGCCTTAACTTTTCTCAGAAGCCTCTGATGCGGTACTCTGTCAAACGCTTTGCTAAAGTCTAAGTAAATAACATCGTATTTTTCGTCATTATCTATTACCTCGAAGACTTTCCTAAAAAACGTCAGCAGATTTGTTAGACAAGATTTTCCCTTTGTAAACCCATGTTGAGAGTCGTAGATTAATTTGCTTTTCTCTAAATGTGATCGGATGCTATTTGCTATAATTGATTCAAGAAATATCCCCACTAAAGATGTCAAACTTATCTGCCGGTAATTTGACGCTGATGCTCTGTCTCCCTTTTTGAATAAGGGTACTACATTTGCCTGTTTCCACAAGTCTGGCACAATTCCCGTGTCTAATGATTTTGTAAATAAATTTACGAGGGGTCCGCTAATCTGTTCTTTGCACTCTTTCAAAACTTGAGGGAAAATTTCATACGGCCCTGGGGATTTAGTCTTCTTTAATTTATTTATCTTCTTAAGATCATCCTCTTTTCTGATAGTGATATTCTTTAATTTCTATTCTTCATTTCCCCTAAATATCAGTTCCACCTCTGGAATTTCCTCGTGAATTTCTTCTGTGAAAACTGATAAGAAGTAGCTGTTTAATGCTTTGCTTATTTTCTCACTATCATTGATCACTTCCCCTCTAAATGTCTGTATAGTAGGCGACTTTAACTTTAGCCAAATAGATTGGATGGACCTTACAGGTAACTAAGAATCAGATGATTTTCTTGAAACAGTTCAGAACTGTTTCCTAAGTTAACATATAACCGAACCCACCTGGGGTAATAATATACTTGATTTAGTTCTGTCAAACAGAGAAAACCTCATTAGTAATGTCGAGGTAGGGAACAATCTTACCAACAGAGATCACAAAGAATTAAGATTTCAATTAAAATTTAATGGCAGTCGCAAGGAAAATTCCATTAAAGTCCCAGATTTCAGAAGGCCAAACTTTGGTAGGTTGAAAAGGCAAATGAGAGAAGGGGTATCACATTTGGGGATGGATTACATGGCCTCGAGTGAGGTGACCTCACACAATGTACCCACAGAGGGCGACCTCACTTTTCCTGGGGACCTGACAATGATATCCTCGCAAAAAGATGGTTAAGGATGACCTGATCACGAGATCTGAGGTTGACGAGTTCCACAACAATTTAAACAATGAGTTACTTAATGCACAAAGGCAGAACATACCATACAAAAAACTCAGATCAGACAACAATGACCCTAAATGGATACCGGTAAATAATTATTTAAAGAATATTATTGGACAAAGGAAGGCTATAGATAGAAGAATAAATCGTGGTGAAGTTTACCTCCGAGATTGTTTTAAGGCATTGGCCAGTAGGGTTAAGACCGAGATAAGAAAACGAAGAGGAATAATGAACTGAAGGTAGCAAGGGAGGCGAAGTCAAACCCCAAGGGATTCTTTCAAATGTATCAAACTAAAACACGAGAAAGGATTGGACCAATACAATCAGATACCGGCGAGCTAACTGATAATGACGGAGAAATGAGCAATAATCTGAATAAATATTTTTCAACAGTTTTCACCACCAAAAATTTAAACATGAGACCAGAGGCACCGACTATATACAGAGATAGTGAAGAAAATAGACTAAGCGAGATAGTAGTGACTAGTAATGATGTTAGTAAACACATAGACAAATTAAAGCCTAATAAGTCACCAGGTCCTGATGAGATATTTGCCAGAGTATTAAAGGAATGTAAGGAAGATCTTAGTGTGCCCTTAGCAAAGTTGTTTAACATGTCCTTAAAAACGGCTGTAGTACCAGAATCCTGGAGGATAGCAAGTGTAATACCGATTTTCAAGAAGGGTGATAGAAAACTATCCTCTAACTACCGTCCAATCATCTTCACATCAATTGTAGGCAAATTAATGGAAGCAAATTTCAAACTCTATTCGAAATCACCTGGAGAAGCACAAGTTGATCAATGATTCCAAACACGTCTTTAAAAGCGGGCATTCATGTCTAACTAATCTATTAACATTCTTTTCAGCTGTTTTCGAATCAGTGGAAGAGGGGCACGACTATGATGTGGTATATCTTGACTTTAGTAAAACCTTTGATAGAATCCCCCACGAAAGACTAATAAGAAAAGTGGAGGCTCATGGCATTGGAGGAGATATTCTAAAATGGATAAGTGCGCTGTTCCAGGACAGGAAACAGCGAGTGAGTATTAACGGCACTAAATCCGATTGGAATAACGTCACTAGTGGAGTACACCAAGGCTCAATACTTGGACCATTATTATTTATTATATACATAAACGACATAGATACGGGCGTAGACAGCAACATAAGTAAATTTTCTGATGGTACTAAATAGGGCGTGTAATTAAATCTGACGAGGACTCCGCAAAACTACTGGAAGATCTAAACCAATATTTTGAATGGTCTGAAAAATGGCAGATGAAATTCAATGTGGACAAATGTAAAGTACTTAGTCTAGGAGATGTAAACAGGGAAACCAATAAAAGCAAGTTAAATAATATCCCAACACTGATAACTTTTGCCCATGTTAGTTTGTAACGATGACTTGTCACCCAGAAAAAAGTAAATACATGAGGATAGGAAGAACAAAAGTTGCTGACCATGGATATCATATGTACACCACAATCAAGAAGACCACTGTAGAGAAGGATGTAGGGGTAGTCATCGATGATAAGCTGACGTTTTCTGACCATCTAGCTGAGAAAATCAACAAGGCTAATAAAATAGTGGGCATTATTAGAAGAACTTTTGTTCATCTGGATGCACCTATATTCAAGGCTCTGTACACTGCTCTGGTTAGGCCACACCTTGAGTATGCTAATCAAATTTGGAGCCCATATCTCATTAAGGATATTGAAGCAGTAGAGAATGTACAGAGGAGGGCTACCAATTTAGTACCACAGATCAAGGATTTATCTTATGAGGAAATACTAAGGAAATTACAGTTACCGACACTGGTGTACAGAAGATCTCGTGGGGACCAAGTGGAAACATACAAGATAGTGTGTGGCATATATGACCAGGCATGTACAGCAGGAATGTTCCAGATGAGGGAGGCTGACACTACCCGGGGGAACTCAAAGAAGATCTACAAAACCAGAACGAGGCTAAATCTCAGAAGACACTCGTTCACGAGTAGGGTTGTCAACAACTGGAATGGGTTACCTGAGTGAGTAGTGAATGTGGAGATGGCGGAAAAGTTTGAAGCAAAATTAGATAAATACTGGAAAAATCAACAAGTATATAATTATCCGCCACACACAGCCACCGTCCGAGTAGAGAAGAGGCTACTGAGCTGAGTCACAGGCGTGAGCCTCTTCCAGAAGATCATCTGAGTAATACCTGGTATATTTATCTTCAAAAATAAAGAAGAGCAGATTGAACGGCACATAGTTATTGAAAGAGGCATAATGAATCCTTAAAGGTGACATAAAAATTAAATGGCAATATTATTGAAGAACATGAGCAATAGACACTTGGAACCTTGAGTCAGGTACAGCACACCGTTATTTTAAAGACTCACATTGGAACATAAATATCACAAAATTTATTTTGTTTTAGCAACCTTTTTTATCAATAATATAATTATGAATTTATTTAGGTACATTTTTTGGGATACAAAGACTATTTGGAGACAAAGTTATTATAACATGGATTATTTTTTTGCAATGTGCATTCTAGCCTTAAATAAATATATATTAAGCTTATAAAATAACTTTTTTAATGTGAATTTATGATCGCTGTCTTAAATTAGTTACATTATTGTATTTAATATGTCCTTGGGGTGAGTGTGATGGTTAAAGCCGTAAGTTGTAGAACGCAGGGGAGCAAGTGAGGGTGACCCATGATGGCGGCCAGTGTGTGGCGCTCCCTTATGTGTTTCATGTAAGCTTGTGGCTCAGCGCAGGCAAGCGACGACCAAGCATGAAGGGAACGCGCGGGTTACGGCGCCTGGTCTTGTGTACAGTGTCTATAGACAGATAGTAAGCTAGACCATGTCGTGGGGCAGCGGCGGTGGGAGGCTGGTGGTGGGTGCATTTCATGGTGAGCGAGAAGGCCACCAGCAGCAGCAGGTGGGCGGGGGCGGCGATGTGGACGAGGTTATACAGCGGGCGTTGGAAACATGTGAAACCCACCACCAGTTCATCGCCTCGCAGGCAGAGCACCTGGAGCGACTGAGGTCCCAGTGTGCCACCAGCGCCCAGCTCACCCAGCAGGAGATCCGCACGCTAGAGGTGAGCTGCCCTCTCACGGTCCCACTAATTACCCAAATGTAGCCGCAATGAAGTCAAATGATGGTCCTACATGAATAAATCGGACTGCCAACCACTTCTCAACTAGTATTTGGTGTCACAAAGTCACAAAAAATTGGAAAACTTAATTTAAACCGAGTTGTGTTAGGTTAGGTTAGGTACATGCACTCGATCTATTAACTCAGATTAAATTAAGTTTTCCAATTTTTTGTGACTTTGTGACACCAAATACTAGTCGAGAAGTGGTTGGCAGTCTGATTTATTCATGTAGGACCATTATTTGACTTCATTGCGGCTACATTTGGGTACATTTGGGTAATTAGTGGGACCGGATCCTGCTGCCAGGTTTAGGCTCCTACAGTCACCACCTACACCATCCCTCCCTACTCCACAGAAACAGTCTTATATTTGTATTTGTGTCCTGGTATGTTTAGGTTTGACAATGTCGGGTACAGCAGCAAGTGGTTTATGGTCATTAATTTTGATTGCCTACCAATACATGTCTACTGCTGTACTGGTTTGTACAAAATTAAATTTTATTTTTTGGCTGTATTGGACAGTTTTAGTGAAGGTTCAGCTGAAATTGTATAGTGTACTTTTATTTACAATTTGATGTGATGTGTTGATAGGTGACAAAGAACTGCATGGAGGTAGAATACTGTAAACACAGTCTAAGTTTTGCTGTACATGATTATTAGGTTAATATTCGTCGATTGGCTGTCTGCAGGTTTCCAATTTTTAATATTACAGACACAAAGACTATAAAAAACCTAAACATACGACTTCATATCATTTATTGTGCAAATCAGTATTAACGGAGCATCTCGTAAATTTCTAGGCATAAATTTCTGTATCCGCCATGTTGCCCCAGTCACTTCTCTCCTCCCCCCCTCCTCTTCGCAACATGACAACCAATGATCTTCAAGTATCGTGTCATGTGACATGGTTGGCCAATCATTTTGAAGGCTCGTGATGGCGTGCAAAAAGTGTTCTCTCCCTTATCTAGCTATTATTCAGCGAGTTTATCAGAACAAAAGTGAAGCAATCCAAATCTTACAGGATCACGGAATCCAACCAACATCAAGACTGTGTCCTATGTGTGGAAATTGTTTATTTTAAGAAAAGACAGAAATTCTTTTGTCAGTAACCATAAGCATACCAGATCGCCCAGATGTATCTTCCAGCACGGTAGCAGGTAGGTTAGGTTAAGTGAGGTTAGATTAGTTTTTGTGTGTGTTTTTTATGGTGTGGTTTACTTCAACTTGATTGCCATTTTGGTGCAAATTAGCAGTTTCTGATACAAATGAAATTGTTAATTAAAAAAAAAATGCAAATTTGTACCAGCAATGAAGGTCGTCGTCCTGCAACAATACTGTGCCTGTGCCTCTCCAGAGACGCCCTTCTGCTGCAGAGGAGGGTGGCGGTTGGCTCTGTGTGGTAGCCGACATCTGAGCATGGCCGAGGCCGGTTATGCTGCAGTAGAAGGGGAGGCCCTGGCTGTGGTGTGGTGCCTGCGCAAGGCCAGGCTGTTCCTCCTTGGCTGCCCGAACCTCATTCTGGTGACGGACCACCGCCCCTTAGTTGGCTTGCTAGGGGACAGAGCCTTCACGGATGTGGCGAATCCGCGCCTGTTCAGGCTCAAGGAGAAGACCCTGCAGTACCGATTCACGGTCAAATACTTGCCAGGGAAGCGGAACTGTGCAGCTGACGCCCTATCCCGCTTCCCCTCCCTCAGGGCGGCGCCTGATGCGGAGGACATGGACCAAGAGGAGGACCTGTGCGCTGCAGTGTGTGCAGTCACAATCGCAGCACTGGATCAGGATGGGTGCATCACTATGGACGAAGACACAGTATGCAAAGCGGCGGCGGACGACCCAGTGTACCAGATTCTAGTGTCGAGGGTGCTGGCGGGCGACTGGCACCCCCACAAGTCACAGGAGGTGGCCTGTCTGCGCCCGTACTTCTCGGTGAGGGACAGGTTGGCTGTGGTCAGGGGTTTGGTCACCTACACCTTTGACCAGGGCTGCGTGCGCCTTGTCATCCCCGACTCCCTCCGCCACCGGGTCGCCGTTAACCTGCATGTGGGGCACCAGGGCCTCGACTCAATGCTCAGGCGGGCCCGGCAGTCTGTCTATTGGCCTGGCATGGAGGGTGACCTGCAGTATCATCGGTCCCGGTGTGCTGCTTGCGAGACCCACGCCCCTTCCCAGCCTCCGGAGTCGTTGGTTCTGACCCCAGCGCCAGACTATCCCTTTCAACAAGTGGTGGCCGATTTGTTCCACCTGCAGGGCCGCACGTACCTAGCATATGCTGACCGACTGACAGGTTGGCTGGAGATCGCCCACTTCCCCAACGAGGCCACCTCTGGAAAAATCATCGCCAGTCTGCGGGCCTACTTCACGAGGTGGGGGGTACCTGAGCAGATCTCCACAGATGGAGGTACCAACCTTGCCAGCCTTGAGATGACAGATTTCCTCAAGTCATGGGGGTCGAGGTGCGCCTCTCGTCGGCCCACTTCCCCCAGTCCAACGGCAGGGCAGAGGCTGGGATCAAGGCTGCCAAGAGGCTCCTCAGGGATAACACTGGGCCCGGGGGTAGTCTGGACTGCGATAGGACATCCCAGGCCCTCCTCCAGTACCTGAACACGCCTCTGCGGGGGGTGAACAAGTCGCCCGCCCAACTTGCCACCGGCCGCCAGCTCCGTGACGGCGTTCCCGTGGCCAGACAGCACTATAAGGTGGACCAGCACTGGCGGCGGGCACTTCGTATGAGGGAGGTGCGCTTGGCCGAAACACAGGATGGGGTCCTGTCGCGGAGGGAGGTATCCCGCCAGCTGGCTCCCCTAGTCGTGGGCACGCAGGTGCGTGTGCAGGACGCAGCTACCAAGCTCTGGGACAGGACAGGCATAGTGGTGGAAGCCCGCCCTCACAGGCAGTATGCCGTCAGGTTGGGTGGCAGTGGCAGGGTGTCCATCCGCAACAGACGCCACCTGCGAAACGGCTCCACACCTGTGCCTACTACTCCGGTGGTGCACCAAGCTGTGCCTCCTGGCCCCCCTTCTGCTGTGCCCTCCATACCCGCGCCCTCCTCCGCACCCACGGCCCCTCCCCAGTCGAGCGCGGCCAGGCCCAGGAGAGGCCGTAGGCCTCCGGGCTGGTTGACGGACTACGTGGTGTAGTGTATGTGATGTAAAATCAGTTTAGAGGTTTTTTTTTTTTTTTGTTTTTTTCCTTTGTTTGACTCGTTTTTCCTGCATTATTGTTGTTTTTATGAATGCATTGTTTTCCTTTTGTTAGTTCAAATGTGCATTGTCATTTCCTTTTAACTTGGGGGGGAGATGTAAGATTGTACCATCGTACGATATGTTTTCCCATGTTGAGATGGGGGTTTGTCTTTGGCAGCGCCCGGTTGCCAGTCTCCAGCTGACGCTGTTAGAATAAAGTCTATAAAGAACGTGGTCTATGACTCCAACCTCTCACAAATACTAATTATAATAATAATAATTATTCATAGTAAGTAAGATTTTTAATTAAAAAAATACACCAAAATAAAATAATCATGATAACAATAATAATATTAAAATATAATAATAAAATTTATAATAATAATAATAACAATAATACTATTATAAAAATAATAATAATAATAAAATACAAGAATGAAAAAAGATAAGTGAGAAACATGACCTATACCTATGAATTATTATTATTATAATTATTATTATTATTATTATTATTATTATTATTATTATTATTATTATTATTATTATTATTATTATTATTATTATTATTATTATTATATTTTCGCCCCCCAGGCCCCAATGTGGGTCAGTGACTTGTGCCCAGGTGGGCTAATACACATTAAAAAAGAAAAAAAACCTAACCATTCTGAAAACCGAAAAATTCCGAAATGCCTCTGGCCCCAGGGATTTCGGAAAAGGGATTGTCAACCTGTGTCATTAATCATAAACTTTAAACTCTTTTATAAGGGAAACAGTAATGCATGTTACAGGTGAATAAAGAAAGCTGTAAAGGTGAGTGTGGGTGATGGGTGGTGGTGTGTGCATGTAGGTCAGGTTCCACTGGGAACTTGGTCATGGGAGTGAAACCTGTGGCCAATACTTCATCCTGGCTAACACTGGCCATTCATTACTGTTTTCATCTTGAAGTTTTCTATTTGTCCAGAATTGGAAGAACTACTGATACACTAATAAGTAAAATAATTATTTAATCTAAATCAGAACTTTGCATTTAAATAATTCTCTCCTATTTCTTGGAAGGAAAATCACCTTAAATATCATTTAGTCGTACTGTATATGACTATTAAAACACTGGTTGTAAATTTTTTTTATTTGCACATCAGAGAATAGGAATGGCAATTCTAACTATATTTGACAATCTCTAAGTTCTCTCATAGCTGTGACCCTACATTAGGGAATGTTTGGTATAGGAAGCCAAGTTTTATGGGTTCTCTATTAATGTAGGGTTGTGCAGTATCATCATGGCTGTTCGGTATTTACAAGAATGGGGTAGCTAATAAGATAGTTGAAATCAAAAGAAATGTTTGATAGGGATGAAGAAATCAACTAGGAAGTGAGTCTGTTGCTATTTGCTGATAACACTGCACTAGTGGGTGATTCAGGGGAAATGTTACAAATGTTGGTGAGTTAATTTGGAAGAATGTGCATGGGAAGTTGAAAAGGGAATGTAAACAAAAGTAAAGTTATGATAACATGTAAGAGGAAGTGAAAAGTATGTGTAGAGAGAGAGAACTAAGTCAGAGGAATGGTTGAGCTGACATACTGCATGGAACTGAAGTGTAGACTTGGATGCAAGAGGAATTGATGTAAATGAGAGTACAGTAATGTGTTGGATGAGTAATACTATATACAAATACTGTACAGTATTACATGATGATCAGGAAATGAAAGAAGCATAAGAGAGAGAGAGAGCTGGCAAGAATTTATTAAGTTTAGATGGGAAGTAAAAGATTACCCACAGTGAAAAGAGTGTTTGAATGAGAGATGGATGGAAGGAGGGAGAGGGAAAGGTCAAGGAGATGGAAAGATGGTGTGTGACATTTGAGGGATGGACATCTATAGGAAGCATCAGAGCATATGAATGATCAAAGAGCATGGCTCAGAGTGGTTTGTGTGGATGTCACTGCACGTAGAGTGAATTGATGAAGGCAAATGCATGGAAGGTTTGATTTTGACTCTTGACTCTTGCTGTCTTGCAGAGTAATGGGAAAAAGTTTGCAAGAATAATTTTTTTTTATTACTGTAGTTTATACGTCATATCTATTGGTACTGTATCTTCTTTTAACTTTTTTGGGGGGGGTGAGTTCATACTCTTGTAGATAAGTCATGGCTCGTAAATAGCTAATCACATCAGTCATTTCGAATGGTAAAAAGGAGAGTAAAATTGATTCTTACGCAGTTTTCGTGGTTGTATTGCTTTAGTACAGTATTTTGATGTATATACTGCACAGTACCGGTGTACTGTACTGTATATGAACTCCTTTTGTACAGTGCCGGACAGTTATTTAGCAAATTTATTTATATGATCCTGATGAATGTAGAAGAACTCATTTGATTGCTGATTAATAATTTTTCATTTTGCTTTTTTGTTTTTTAGTATTGTTGCATATCATAAGAAAGAATAATTTTCCTTCATATACCAACAGTACTTGTAGAGCCCTATTTTCTCCTAGGTGTATGAAACCTCTAAATGTCCTTTATTTATATGGGGACTACAGTACTTATTTACATACTGTACCTAATGTTAATATTTTACTTTTCTTTTAAAACAGGGAAAGTTGGTGAAGCTGTTTAGTCTCCAGCTGGTGACCAAGCGTCACTTACCTACAGGTGTACCATTACCCCTGGAGCTACAGCTTTACCCCTCCCTCAAGCAATGGCTCCAAGTTGTTGGACTCTGCAAGGATTCAGTTAATGTAAGTTACTACTGTACAGTAGAAGTCCAAAAATCCAGACTGCTTGGGGATTGGGTCTGTCTGGAATAAAGAAGAGACGAACAGATACATTTTGATAGTTTATTCATTAGCAAATATAGCATGCTTCATTTATCAAAACGAGCAGTTTTAAAGAAAAAGTTGTGAATTCTAGAATTTTATTCTTTGCCTTTTTTATATCATAAATTGTAGACTTTCCAATGTTGTATGTTTCCATTAGAACAGTATTGCTCACACCACGTTTTATATTAATTATTTAAAGTTTGTCACTCAATTTCAACGTGTTCTTTCTCTTCACACAACGAAATTTATCTACTTTAGGAGCCATTATTATGGGCTCTGTAAATGGAAAGAGTAGGACTCAAAATTACATACGTTGTCACAGTTTGATTGCTCATTTTAAAGTGGTGACCGCGTGGTCACTTGTTGTCGCTGTGCACCTGTGGTGCTCATGCATGCGCACATACACACAAAAGCCAGCTAAAAAAAAAATTGAGTTTTCGAAAAGTCCGGATTCTCGGGTGGTCCGGATTTCTGGCATCCGGATTTTTGGACTTGTACTGTATATATTACATAGGATTTTTCAGATTTTTTGTTTATCTCTGATAAAGTTAGAGAAAAGCAAAGCTGTTCCATGACTCTTAGGGATAAGTAGATCATATAATAAGGTAGAACAAAGGTAGGGTAATAAAATGGTTAAATAGTGTTAGCTCTATGATGGTTGAGTGTGCATTTACGCGGTCAATTGAACCCGTGGAGGTCCGCGTAAAATGAGAAACGCGTAAATGAAATAACAGAACATATGGGATTAATTGAAATAGAGACTGGGCCGACCCCCAAACTCCACTTTTTCCGACACAATACCTACGTTGTAGCAAAAATAACATCTTAATTTTATGATGGTATGCACACACAATTAATATTTAAGAGAAATACAGTCGCCCGGTTAATGTCCATTCAAATAATGGACTCAACTCCTCCCCCCCTCTTCCCACACTCACTGGCTCCTCTCTCTGAGAAATGTTTGGGTGAAAACACTAGATTTTAAGGTATAATAATAAATAATACCTAAATAATACCTCAGACTAAAGTTAGGATAATATAATTAACATTGCTGGATTCCTTGCAGGACAGGGAATATTTTGAATGTAAACGTCATATATTTTGCACAAAAGATAAAATTACATTTAAAATTTGTATGTCTAATGCAAATTTTAAGATGTTTTTATTTAAAATGATCACCATCTTGTAAGAATTCCAGCAATGTAAATTATATTCTGGCCGGGTAATTTGTATGAATTTTATGAACTAAAAACAAATATCTTCAGTAAATAAACAAATTATGCTTCACCCAGACACTATCTGTCAATCAAAATACCCCACCTCCCGCTCCCCCCCTCTTCCCACACTCGCTGGGTCCCTCCCTCCCTACCCCCCACCTTCCTTCCCTACCAGAGAAATGGTTTGGGGAAAAACAGTATAGTATTTACATTTTTAGTAATAAATAATACCTCAGGCTAAAGTTAGGATAATATAATTAACATTGCTGGATTCCTTGCAGGACAGGGAATATTTTTAATGGAAATGTCATATATTTTGCACAAAAGATAAAATTTTTGCTAATTTTCATGATCTTCTTAAATTACATCTAAAATTTGTATGTCTAGTGGAAAATTTAAGATGATTCTATTTAAAATGATCACCATCTTGTAAGGATTCCAGCATTGTAAATTATATATTTTATGAGCTAAAAACATATATATCTTCAGTAAATAAACAAATTCACTGGTCAACATAAAAAAAAAATTCTCATGGTTCTGGATCAAAACAGTCTGATTCTAGTGTAATTGCATGTGCTGAACTCAATTATGACATTCGTATAGCTGTATCAGGCTCAGTTTTCCAGAACCAGCATATCTATATATTTAGTGTACCATGCTATTCATACAGTAATTTATATGCTCATTGGCTCCACTTATGCAATTATTTTGTCCTGATTTGTGCTTTTTTGTTTGTTTCAGTTTGCTGATTCATGATATTGCATATCTACACCTGCATGATTTGTAATTACTCTGAAATTAACAAAACATGGAATGTTGCAAGTGTGTGAACGGTGCTGACAGTTTTTGCTACATATGTGGTGCCTTCACTCCTAGTAGCCTCAAGAAACCAATCACAAAAGCTGTTCGACTGAACTACAAAAGTTACTTCAAATGTCATTTGGGTGACCAAGACAAGAAATGGGCACCTCATGTAGCCTGTAAGTCTTGTGTTAACCACCTGAGCGAGTGGATGTGTGGTAAACGAAGTTCAGGAATGCCGTTTGCTGTACCGATGATATGGCGTGAACCTAAAGACCACAGTAGTGACTGCTACTTCTGTCTCACAAATATTAAGGGAATAAAAATCAAGACACGAGGCAAGGTACAGTACCCCAATGTTGCTTCTGCAATCCGACCAGTACCGCACAGTGCTGAACTTCCAGTCCCAAATCCACCGACTGAACAAGAATTGAGTGATTCCGATTCTACCTCTACCTCAATGGAAAACGACTACCAGGATGACTCTGAAAATACCAGGCCTAAACTATTTACTTAAGAAGCACTTCATGATCTCATCAGGGACCTAAACTTGTCAAAAGAAAAGGCTGAAGTTTTGGGATCCAGACTAAAGCAGCGTAATCTGCTAGAAGATGGAGTGCATATCACTGCAGCGCGTTACCGACATAGACAGCTGTCTGCATTTCTCAAGGTGGCAAACAACCTTTGTTATTGCGAGGATGCAGTATCTCTCATGCAACAACTCTGCAAGTCTGAAACATACAAGACAGAGGATTGGAGGCTGTTTATAGACTCAGGAAAAGACTCTCTGAAAGCTGTTCTTTTACACAATGGCAATCGGCTTCCATCTGTCCCAATAGCACACGCAACAAAAATGACTGAGAGCTATGAAACAATGAAAATTCTGTTGGCCGCTATAGAGTATGAGAAACACCAGTGGAAGATATGTGGCGATCTCAAAGTCATCAGTTTACTACTGGGCCTTCAGAGTGGCTACACAAAGCACATGTGCTTTTTGTGCTTGTGGAACAGCAGAGCTGATGTAGAGCACTGTGTGAGAAAGGATTGGCCGACAAGACCAAGAGATGCGCCTGGAAGGTTTAACTGTGCTCACAATCCGCTTGTAGATCCAGAAAAGATATTTTTGCCTCCACTGCATCTAAAGCTCGGTTTGGCTAAAAATTTCATCAAAGCTATGGATCAATTCGGTGCTGGGACTCTATACTTATCTCAGAAACTAGGTGGTGTGGTTTCCGAAGCCAAGTTGAAAGCAGGTGTCTTGAATGGACCACAAATTCGTATACTAGTTAATGATAGCGAATTCACCAAAACATTGAACCCACTGGAGAAAAAAGCATGGGAATCATTTGTCAATGTGTCAAAGAATTTTCTTGGAAACTATCGTGCTGACAACTACAAAGAAATCATAACCATGCTTCAGAATTATCATGCATTGGGAGCAAGGATGTCCTTGAAATTGCATTTTTTCCACTCTCATTGAATTTTTCCCAGGTAACCTTGGAGACGTTAGTGATGAACACGGCGAAATATTTCATCAAGATATCGCCATAATGGAGAGCAGATATCAGGGACAATTCAGTCCTAATATGATGGGCGACTATTGCTGGACACTGCAACAAGAAGAGAGCAAGCTGTACAAGAGAAAGAGTAAAGTTCAGAAGCACTTTTAGAACTTCATATTTTGTCATTATAAAGGATTTGAACTTATGTTTTTTGGTACAATTTTTTATGAGCTTATCTGTGATAGGTTTAAAATTGTATCTTGCATGACGCGATAATGTTACTATATTTACTATTTTTTTTATTCTTTAAGAAAGTAGGTCTGATGGTAGAATGAAACATCCAATTAATATTCATTAATATGAAATTAGTCATGAAAGCACAGTCACATGAGATAATCTCATCTTTTGCACGACACGTGATGGAATATTAAATATTTGTACCTATTGATTTTTTTATAAAACCTGGTCTGATAGAACAAAACAAATATCAGATTCAAATTCAGCAATATGAAATTAGTTGTGTGATCATGATCTCTTATGTGAACCATTTTGGCTGTTGACCAGTGGTTATACTTCACCCGCGTAAATGATGAAATTTACCGCGTAATTAAAACATTTCATTCTGGCAAGGTGCCGCTTAAATGACCAAACGCGTAAACAAAAACCGCGTAAATCCAGACTCAACTGTACTCTTTAAGTCAGATTGGCTTCAGTCTTAATAGTCTTTAACATAACCAAACTTGAGGCTCAGTCCTAATGGGCCCCTCCTGGTGGTTTATTATTTGGGCCCATTTGACCAGTCACCAACTTTTCAAGAGAGTTAATGGATAATGAATCAAGAATAAAAGGAAGCTTAGCATTTAAAATGATCATATTGTATACAGTACAGTATAATAGTGAATTTTTTTTAAACTTTGCTTATAACATTTTAACAGAAGATATATACTGGAGGATCCATGAATAATATTTGACAATGATGGGGATAGAATGTAGTACTGGTGGTAAAAGGATTTAATGTAAGGGTAAAGATACCATGTAATGTGTGGATGAGTTCTTTGAGTACTGTATATGTATTGTAACTGGTAGAATTAATCTGGTTAGTTAATGGAGAACTGTTAAATACTGTACTGTACATCAAAATATTTCTTTGTATAAGCTAAGGTTTACAAGTTCATAGAATTACATTAAAGGGTATGATAATTTGGGGGAATCTTTACAAAGCTATATACAGCTACTCCTCGACTTATGACCACCCTGACATACGACCGCCGAAGTTGTACCAAAATTTTTTCAAATTGCGTATTTTCAAGTCCCAACGTTAGTGATTGCCCTGTGTTCTGACGAAATTTTCGTTTGTAATTCCCTTTACAATGGCTGGCAAGCTTAAAAGTGAGAGTTTTGTGGTGCTGAGAAGAAAAGGAGACACCCATTTTAGATTTTTTAAGTAGTATTATTTTCGCATTTTCAACTTACGACCTGGATTTGGGTCCCTAACCCCGTCATAAGTCGGGGACTGCCTGTAGTACAGTCAGGGTTGTTATTATTTAAATCAAATGATTTAAATCGATTTAAATCAGAGTAAAAAAATCATGATTTAAATCAAAATGATTTTTTTACTAATACCTAACTGTTTTCTCTTTTTATTCTACATGATTGAGAAGTATATGCAATGCAGCAGGCTAATAACGTTATTTGGATTTACATAATTAAGTACTGTACTATAGTCTGTTCTCGCCAGTTTTGCGAAACTTTGATCATATCATAAGGTCTCATTATTAATGTATATATTTACATGAAATATATTGTTAACTAAGATAATAAATACTATTGAAATTCAGAAGAACTGTAGTATTCTCTTCTCCCGGCATTATATATCAGTCAATAAGGAGCAAGGGGATGTACATTTTTGCAAAGCTAGAGTGAACAGGCTGTAGGCACTAGGCTATACATATTCAGATATTCTATTTTTATCACTTACAGTAGTATGTTCTTTTTAACAGCGGACAACCGTATTTATCTTGTTGACTCTATAGACACAGAATCAAGACACACAGCTGAATATCTGTTGAAATTAGCTGAATGTGCTACAAAAAAGTGTGAAGACAAATTTGGATGCACAGTAAGAAGTTGTGTAACAGATAATGCTGCTAATATGGCAAAAATGAGAAGTGAATTCGGACAAGATAAATCCATTATAACATATGGTTGCTCTGCACACCTGTTAAATTTGCTTTCACAAGACCTGCAAATCAAGAACATTAAGGAGCACATTACTGAAATCATTAAGTACTTCAGAAATCATCACATCCCAGGATCTTTGTATAGAAGAGCAGGAGGAACAATGCTAGTAATGCCATCAGACACACGATGGAACACAGTGACAGATTCTATTGAATCTTATTTAAAGAACTGGGAGACCCTTGTCAAAGTGTGCAAAGAATATAGTGAAGACATTGATAAGAAAATTGAAAGGAAAGTTAAGGATAAGGCATAAAAAGAACTGCAGAAGACTATTTAGAGAGACTTAAGCCTATTGCTGTGGCATTGGACTGTGTCCAGAGAGAACATACCCTATTAAGTGATGCTGTAGAAATCTGGGTAAAACTGAAAACTGATATTAAGGAGTATTTAACAGATAAGAAGAATATGGATAATTTTGAAAAAAAAGAATCAAAGTAGCATTGACACCTGCCCATTTTCGAGTTAATGTGATAGATCCAAGGTATGAGGGCAGACATCTGACTCCTGAGCAGCGAGACATTGCAGAACAGTATGTGTGCGGGTCTCTTCCACATTTCCTTTCAAGATTAATGTCCTTCCATGGAAGAAGTGCACCATTTAAAGAGGTCTATTTTGGTAAAGGTGTTGTAAAATCTCTCTCACCCCTTGCTTGGTGGCAGTATTTTGCCAATGATATGACAGAAAATGTAATGGATGTTCCTAGGCAATTATTTACAGCTGTTGCATCATCAGCAGGGGTTGAGAGAATTTTTTCCACATATGGATTTGTACACTCAAAGGTAAGAAATCGCCTAGGATAGGAAAAGGCATCTAAGCTTGTCACAGTATATGTATAAGCATTTCAATGTTCTACTAAGCTAATTTAAATGTTTTGAACTATTTTTGTTGTTTACAGAATGAGAATATTGTGTTGACTTGAAGTTATTACCGGTAATTCTTAATACACTATAATCCTACAAATGTAGGAAAATTTTTGAAACACTAATCCTATAAGAGCATTTATGTTAAATTTCATGATTACATTTGGATTTGTGCCCTCAAATGTAAGATATGTTACCAGTTTTCTTTTATTTTACCAAAAGAATATTATTGTGTTAAATTCCATTGGTACATCTACTGCATAAATATCTTAATGCCAATTTTATGTTTATTATCCTGAATAAGGTTTAGTTGAAAAATACTGTTTATATGGTTTAAAAATACTATTTTAATGCAATTAGTAAAAAAATAAAAAAAATCGATTTAAATAAAAAAATCTGATTTAAATCAAATCGATTTTTTTTTTTTTTTTAAATCGTGATTTTTTTCCAACCCTGACTACTGTACAGTACAGTACGGTATCTGGCAACTGAAAATCTAATTTATGGTACAGGTATACTTTATGTACTGTAATCTATTTTGTGAGAGATTTAAACATTCTAAGTATGAAATTTAAGGATGCAGTATAGAATATGTATACTTTACTGTATAATTTTTTTTTTTTTTACTTTCCCACTTTATTACATGAGATTAAATGAAGAAAACTTGACAATCTAGCAGCTGGCTGAGTGACTGTGCACGATGGTGTGATTGGTGAGTCTATTTATCTTCACGGGTTTGAAGAGTAGGTTGTGATTGTAGGAGACTGATGACATAGTCAAAGCATATTTGTATGCCATAACATTGAGAGAGTTAGAGAATAATGAATTTAGTGGACAAATAATGTAAGCAATTTTTAATATTGCTCTATACAACTAAACTGATACAAGTACAGTACCATGGTTTACTATCCAATATGTTTAACATGGACAATGTGTTCATAATCCAGTAGCATCCATGTTACATAATTTTTTATTTTACAGAAGTCACTTGGTCCCAGACTTTTTGGTTGAAAGATATTTACTCTATTTTAATTTGTATCTTTTTTCCATGACATACTTTTTAAGAACTGTACCAGGTTAAATATTGGAAGTATGACACTGTAAGATACAATATACGGTACATCTTAATGATGAGTTGACTCTTAGTACAGTACTGTGCAGTGTCATCAACATGTATTTGTAGTGAGAGTTGGCTAGTGAGCTGGTGTTATCAGATTGAATGTAGCAGCACTGATAGTAATGTTAGATCAGTCTGGAGTGGAGTAGATTAATAGTTACTGGGCACTGTAAATGATAATTATGTGGTACACTTTTTGAATGTGTGCACAGGTATTTGTTAATAAAGACAATTTTTATTTTTTTTTATTTGCATCTGAGTAGTCCTTCTGTGCAGTAATGTTTAATGTTGATTTACACAAATCTTACTTTAATTGTGAAGTTGAATTATACATTCCTTCTTCATCTCCCTGCTGAATACTGGAGGGAAAGCATATCCCCTGTACTGTACATATGTCTGTTTTATCTGACAGTTGGTATGCACCTTCTAAAGTCATCTCTACAGTTTCCTGGGGAAGATTCTGAAATTGTTCTCAAGCTGTTTAGGGGCAGATAGATACCGGTATACAGTACATACCTGTATTAAAATATGGAATTAGAGTCGTGTTGCTTTATTTTTCAGCTTTTACTAACATAGGGTCTTAGGAGGGGCATATATTTTATACAGCATCTGGTTTCTAAGAGTGATTGAAACACATACACTTTTGGTAACTCCATTTATTTCAGTTTTATTGAATATGATATTTTTACAGGGTATGTGCCAGCGAGTCTCAACACTTGAAGGACTGTTAGAAAAGAGAGAAAATGAATTACGGAACATCCTTAGTGACTATGGAGCAGATCGGAGTGAAGCCCACAAGCTGGCTCGAGCTATGCACAATCTCAAGCGATATACAGGTAAGATAGAGTAGCAGTGAGTAGCCAGTTGCTGCTAAGTGTGCATTACATTTTAGTATCTTCTGTCTTAAAATTATTTTGTATTTGAAAAACAATTTCTTCATTTTAAAATCATTTTGTCCTCCAATCTTTCTGTGCAGACTATGGTCTTTAGTATTTTCAGTGTGCACAATATATCTTTGCTCACTAATTCTTGATGAACAGTTGTGGAGACTTTAAGCAGGAACCATTACCGTTGTTAATGACCTCACACCGTTAGTCTCAAACTTAACCTGAATCCCCCAGTCACTGAGGTGACATGATAAACATTCAAGATTTGTACCTCACAACACAATCAAATCCATCAGTTAGTTCTTCTGATAGCTGACTTGTCTCATTCACATAGCGCTTTCTTCTTCTCAATTTCTCAAGACACCCACTGGAACAATTTGAGAGTTTTGCTCCCAGTCTACCTTGAATTTTCCCATCACCAACTCCTATCTTGTATTTAACTCCCCCAGCATTAGTATATACAGTATCTCTAATTGAGGTTTTCAATCCATTTGTTCAGGTTTCCCCAAATTTTCCTTTTCTCCTTCTTCTTCTTACTCCCTGGTACTGTACAGTGGAGTATCTGTCAATGAAAATCTACTTTACAAAATATAGTAATATATTTTATGAAAGATTTGAGCATTGTAAAAGAAGTAATTCATTGTAATGGTATTTGCAAAAATTAATAATTTAATCAAACTAATAAAAGTACAGTGACCCCTCCATTAACGAACTCAATCCGTTCCAGAAGGTCGTTCGTTAACCGAAACCATTGTTTCAATGGGTTTTTGGGTAATTGGTTCCAGCTCACCGAAAATTTCCTAAATTAAAAAAAAATGGTAGAAAAGTTCACTTACTTTGAGGTGTGTATGTAGAAGACTCCTGGATGATGATGATGATGATGATGGGAATTAGAATGGGGGTGGAGGAGAAGGAAGAAGAAAAGGCATTGGGGTGGAAGAGAAGTCACCCCATGGCACCATTTCATCCATAAAATTTTAGTTCTCTTGGTGTATTTCAAGATTATTTTCTTTATATCAACACAGCACTGCATTCTATATTGTCAATATGTAAAATATATTTAAAAATGACCAATAATTTGCTTGGAAACACAGAAAAAGGCGTTTAGTTGAAGAGTGTCTCAAGCAAGATGTTACTCCAGTGAAAACAGAGAGAGACTAACTCCTGTTTGCTGTGTTAAGGGGCTGGATGCCGCGCATTAAACTAGTCACTTTACCTTCAATTATGTTCAATAATTGTTAAAATGACTAAAAAATTGAATATTAAACTTTTAAAATTATTGAATAGTATAAACTTCTTGATATTTACTAAAATAGTAAGGAATTTAAGCCCTAGAACCGATTAATGTATTGGCGGATTGATACTAAAGCTGGTTGCCCGGTCAGTGCAAGCGAAAACATGTTGAGGTCGGTTCGTAAGAACTTCGTTAACCGAATTGAAGATCCTTATGGAAGGCAGTTCGTTAATCGAAATTACGTTAACCGAGGTGTTCGTTAAACGAGGGGTCACTGTAGTTCAACTGGTTTATTGTATGCTTTTCTAGGATACATGTCCATGATAGTATCCACTTATTTAATTATTCATTTTACGGAAGCCTCTTGGTCCCAAACTTGTCAGTTAACAGATACTTCACTGTATTTATTATAAACAACCTCTAATACTCAGCCTTTAGTCTATTCCACAATAATTTTGGACTGACCTTTATATGCAGTATATTATCAAACAACTCTACATTTCATCCCTCATTAATGCTTCTTCTTTATCTCTCTCCCTTGTACAGTACTAACATAGAGGCTATTACACCCTTTCAAAAACTCCTGATTTTACTGCCCCACTCCTCCCAGCTCTCTTCTCCTTTACTCATCAGCTTTGTTTCAAACAAAACCAGGACATGCAAGTTCCTCTTATCATTTCAATCGTTCTTCTTATCATGGTGATTACATCGACACACATACAAACATCCCAATTCATATGTGTTTTCTTCTTTTTGGTAACTGAAATACAAGAAGATGGGGTTACCAGACTCACGCCCTTGGACTGGAGAGAGGGATACTTCACTTCTCGAGCAGGTGATCTGCTCTCTATAGATATTTGTGTTTTGCATGACATTCCGTGTCAGAGGAGGCAAAGACGAGATGTCCTGGGTAACTGTTGAGTCGACGTTATTTTGTGGGGGTGAAGCTTAGAAACAACAGGAATGATGTGCTTGAGAGTAATTTATGTGGAAATTGAATGCATAGTATTAGAAACAACAAAATAGGATGATGTGTATAAGTGAAAGAAGTGTTGGGTAGAGAGCAGATCAAAGTCTGTTCAAGTTGTATATATAGACTTAATGAGAAAATGGGAAGTGAAAATTAGATAAAAAGAACATAATTCAGGGGTGGGAAGACCAAGAAGGAAGTGGAAGGTTGGGATGAAGGATGCACTGTAATTGAGGGGAATGGACATCCAGGAAGTAAGTGTGTGTGCATGAGTGGAGAATGTTGCATTGAGTGATGTGATACTGACTTGTGTAAACTGACATGGATTAACTAGGTATACAGTACAGGTATGGTCTTGTTGTGAAAGGGGAGTACTGTACCTTTGCAGAACACATAATTTACAGAAGTTAGAATGAATGAATGAATGAAGGAAGGATGGAAAAATACCTGTGTTTATTTTTTTCTCAGCCACCGTACATTAAACAGAAAATGGCTTGAAATAGCAGAAAAAAGACATGCACCTATGTGTGTGCATGTGCCTGTGCATTTGTCATATGTGTTTGTACATATAAAGATAATTTATTTTATAGTACATGTTGGACCTCGCTAATCCGGGAAGCTTGGGACCAGACCCGGTTCCGGATTAGCAAAAATTCCGAACCGTTGAAGCCGAGGTTAAAAAAAGGCAAAATAATGTATAAAATGTACTATTACTGATACCAATACAACTTCCATCAGCATAAATCTAGCCCAGGCTTACTGGACCTCTTTATGACAAGGTGCTAGTACTATGGCCCACGTTTTCTGTACACTGGACCCTCACTTTATGCCATTCACTATATGGGAATTTGCATACTGTATATGTACAGAACGAAACAAAGAATTTATTTGAAATATTCTGTAACATTCAATGCCATAATATCCTGACTACTGGGGTTAGTTATACTGACTTCCCTGTGAAAAAGTCTTAATTTTGATGTACTAAGCTAAAGGACTAAAATTTTAATCTCTTGTGCAAACTATAAGATGTTTATACTCAAATGAATTGGTATCTTGCAAGGATTTCAGCAGTGCAAGTTATATCCTGCTAAGTCAAGTCTGTGACATTTTATAAGAGAAGAACTTGAAGCCTAAAATTTACCTTCATCCCATTAATCGTTATCACCCACCGCCATTGCCTCCCCTGCTGGCTGGGAGGAGGGGGAGGTGGAGGTGGGGTGTTAACAGGCAGGAGCCGGGTGGTGCGTAGTTATCAGTTAAGGGGTCAGGACGGACTTGGGGTAAAAGATAGGGAGTTCAAGTTTTTCACTTAGCATAATATAACTTGCACTGCTGGAATTCTTGCAAGATAGCGATTCATTTGAGTACAGTATTACCATCCCATAGGTTGTGCCTGACATAAAACTTTTAATAATTAATTTAGTACATTTGAGTACAGGTTGTGATAATTGTAATATTTTTCCACAACTTTTAGAGCATTACTGTTGACTTTTAGCAGTTGTGGAACATATCCCAATTTTCCCCATAAGATTAAGTATTCTCTATATGTGTCCCGAACCATTAAAGCTGCTGGACTATCGGTTCCCAGATTAGCGGGGTCCAACCTGTATTATATCTTGATTTTGCAGAGATACAGATGCAGGGTCAAGGTGGAGACTGGGGGAGTTCAGAATTACCCCTTTACTGGGATTCTTGGGAGCGTTCCTGTCCACCATCTCCTCGTCCCAGCCACCGCACACAGCGAGAATGTCGGTCATCAGTGTCTTCTTCAGATGGAGATGGCGGTAGTGTGACCAGTGGGAGTACAAGTGGAGGAGCATGGAGTGGAGATGGAAGTCGAACGAGTGGTAGAGGGGTTCCAATCAGTCAACGCAGCAGTGACGATTCATCCACTCCATCATCGCCCCCTCCCCCCTTTTCCTCAGTTCCTCCACTAAGTCCTGGTGGACCCTTCCATGTAACCTCAAACCTCACCCTTTCTGGTAGTGGGTCCGTTTTCTCTGAGAAACGCTACACTCCCCCTCCCACACCTAATATAATCCCCAAAGGCAAGTCTTCAGGTAAGTGTATGTCAAATTACTTTATACAGTTATGTATCTTTGATAACTTAATTCCAGTTTGGAGTGACGTGCGAGTACAGTATTTGCAACCATATTTTTCGAGGTTTACCCCCATGAACTCCAGACATTGGTTAGGTTGGATTGGCACTGGGGATCTTGTAAGGTGAATATATACTTCCCTTTTATTTGTGAAAATCAAACACTCCATTTAGGATGTGTATTGCACAACACATAAAGAACTAGTTAGGGATTCAGGAGTTACTCCAAACTAGTGCCAAGTTGTAAAAGAGGGATTGAATCTGAAAACCCATTTTATAACACAGCCCAGGGGTGGACATATTCGTGGCTTACTTTTTATTGGCTATGTTATAAAACCCATTTATGAAGAGAATTATATTTTGATTGCATGTACTGTACAGTATCACAAAGATGTGAGGGGTTAAACTTTTATAGGTTAGAAGCCATTTACACACATTTGTGCACTGAGGAGAGATATAGGTCTGGTGGTCTACGAGGGGCAGTGCAGTAATACAGGACTGTAATACTTAAATAGTGAATTAGGATTTCCTTCCATAAATTAAATCTCCTTTCTCATTGTTTTATCTGGGATGTACATTTATAGAGTTACAAGACTTTGGTACTTTAATACAGTGATATCCCCATTTCCCAGAATAATTGTTACCTTTGTCCTGGTGTTGCTAACTATCATTCTCCTCTCCCTTCATGAATGAGTGATTGTACACACACTGTATACTGTACAGTACATACACCTGCCCCTCGTGTAACCGGGATGGCTGGCCCAAGGGCCACCTAGGCTTGAATTTGTTTAAGGTGCAGAAGCTATCGCCAAACCAACAACCACACCCAAAGTTAATGAGTTGCATGACCCAGTGTCAAGGAATAGTCTGAGAAGATCGGACAACTCGCCAACTGTACTGGCTAACTGCTGCATTACCCCAGAACACGATCCGCAAATCGATTAACATAAAGGTTCCCAATTACTGCTGGGTAGACAGAGGCAAATGGCGTAAAGAAACTTGCCCATAGTTTCACCCTGCCTGGGGATCGAACCCGGGTCCTCTCATTTGCGAGGGGTGTATGCTGACCATTACACTACAGGTCGCCACACTAGCCTACAGTGGACATACTATCCACTCTGCTATGCACAGTACTGTGCATATGGTACTTTCACACTTAATGTACAATATGCATAATTGTTATCACTTTTTATGTTTAAACACTAAACTGTATTCTTGGCTAAATACAGTATATGCTGGTACAGCACTGTTATGTACAGTACATGTACTGCACAACACAGATTGTATTCAAAAACATTAATGAGCGAGCAAACAAGCTTGTGCAATGGCAGCAGACAATGAACTAAGAGTGTCATGATGCAAGGAGTTTGAGGAGATAGGCTGCAAGATAATCAGCCAATGAAAAGCATCCCATACAGCCACATGATAGTAGTGGCCAATCACAGGTATCGAGCTTTCTGAGCCTGCTTTCATACAAGTCAATGTGTCAGAAACATGATGCATTCTCTTGGAAATTCATTCCCATGCCTGGAACGAAGGGATTTTTCCAAGAATTTCTCAGAATGCCCAACAAAAAATTTCTGGTTACTGGAGAGTTCCAGGGGTCAAAGATTCTGGCTAACAGAGATTGCTACAGTATTCTTTTAGGAAATCACAGAATTAGCTCAGAATGGGCATAAAACATACAGGTTGGATCTCACTAATCCGGGAAGCTTGGGACCAGACCGGTTCCGGATTAATGAAAATTCTGAACCACCAAAAAGCCGAGGTTAAAAAAAAAAGGCAAAATAATGCATAAAATGTACTATTACTGGTACCAATACAACTTCCATCAGCATAAATCTAGCCCAGGCTTACTGGACCTCTTTATGACAAGGTGCTAGTACTATGGCCCACGTTTTCTGTACACTGGACCCTCACTTTATGCTATTCACTATATGGGAATTTGCATACTGTATATGTACAGAACTAAACAAAGAATTTATTTGAAATATTCTGTAACATTCAATGCCATAATATCCTGACCACTGGGGTTAGTTATACTGACTTCCCTGTGAAAAAGTCTTAATTTTGATGTACTAAGCTAAAGGACTAAAATTTTAATCTCTAGTGCAAACTATAAGATGTTTATACTCAAATGAATTGGTATCTTGCAAGAATTTCAGCAGTGCAAGTTATATCCTGCTAAGTCAAGTCTGTGACATTTTATAAGAGAAGAACTTGAAGCCTAAAATTTACCTTCATCCCATTAATCGTTATCACCCACCGCCATTGCCTCCCCTGCTGGCTGGGAGGAGGGGGAGGTGGAGGTGGGGTGTTAACAGGCAGGAGCCGGGTGGTGCGTAGTTATCAGTTAAGGGGTCAGGACGGACTTGGGGTAAAAGATAGGGAGTTCAAGTTTTTCACTTAGCATAATATAACTTGCACTGCTGGAATTCTTGCAAGATAGCGATTCATTTGAGTATTACCATCCCATAGTTTGTGCCTGACATAAATATTTTAATAATTAATTTAGTACATTTGAGTACAGGTTGTGATAATTGTAATAATTTTCCACAAATTTTAGAGCATTACTGTTGACTTTTAGCAGTTGTGGAACATATCCCAATTTTCCCCATAAGATTAAGTATTCACTATACAGTGGGGTATGCTATAACGAACGGATCCTACTACGAATATTCCTATAACGAACGATTTTACCTATAAAATTGAGAATGCTATAACGAACGAAACTCCTACAACGAACTTTATTTAAATTTTTATTTTTTTCTAATTTATTGTTTTTTATTACAAATATTAATGATATTCTTTATTTCAGGGGTTTAGATGCATATTTATGCACTTTTTTACAATTTTTACAATTTTATATTATATTTTTCAGTGTTAAGTGGTTGTATTTGGGGGCCTGGAACGGATTAATCCTATAACGAACGAATGCTATAACGAACAAGGTTCAAGAACCAATTAGATTCGTTATAGCATACCCCACTGTATGCGTCCCGAACCATCGAAGCTGCCGGACTATCGGGGTCCAACCTATACTCGACCAGTGATAGTTTGGCTTTATAGTGTACCATATGTTGTATAAGTCTTGGATGTCAGTGTGTTTAAAGAGAGTAGATGGAATAGAGGAAAATTTTGGTTAGTATATTATCTTTGAGTCTTTAGTGGAAAGGGGATAACATAGAAGAACACATTTTGGTAAGTTAGAAGGATAGAATATATGAAAGAGAGAAAGGGCTTGCAAAAAAAAAAAAGAATTTTGGTTCGTCTTTATATAGATGTTAATATTATAGAATGTAACACAACTTTTTTATCTCTTCCTGCAGGTGATAAGAAATTCCCGACAACTCCTCCTCCTGGAAAAAAATATCAAACTTGTCTCCTCAACCCCATGCCACCATTAGGGCGGTCCACCTCTCATGAATCCCAGCTGGCACCTCGGGCTGAAGGCCACGAACAGCAGTCCTCAACACTCCTCAGGTATTATTATGTTCTTTATTAATTAATGTTTGCCTGTGGTGAATGTAGATATAGTATTATACACTCCTTGCATTAATGTGTGTTACCAAGGACATTTCCAAAATAAATCCCTGTTTTTCTTGTATGTGAGTTAACTGCTAGCAAATGACACATTGTTCTCTGTTGTAATTAAATAATGACCTGTGATTAGTGTTGATTGTCGAATGCATGTTTATCCATAGTGTGTGTGCAACGTCTCGTGCATGAACCAGTGAATTTAAAAGTGAAAAAATTGATGTGTTAATGCTGCTTTTCAGTAATTTTTTTCTTCAAACAAAGATTAACAGCATCTTTTTGTGTTTAGGTAATTGGTCTTTTGTGTATTACAGTCAGTCCTCGACTTACGACGGGGTTAAGGACCGACTACCAGGTCGTAAGTTGAAAATGCGAAAATAATACATAGAAAATCTAATATGGGTGTCTCTTTTCTTCTCAGCACCAAGAGAACTCTCACTTTATGCTTGACAGCTATTTTAAAGGGAATTACAAACGAAAATTTTGTCAGTACACAGTGCAATCACTAACGTTGGGACTCGAAAATAAGTAATTTGAAAAATATTTTATACGACTGCGGCGGTCATATGTCCGGGTGGTCGTAGGAGTACCTGTATATGTAAAAAAATTTCACTATGTATACAGTATACAGTAATACCCCGATTTATGCGGTTCCTGTTTACGCGTTTCCACATTTACGCGGTACCCCACCAGAACCGGAATTCCCACTTTACGCAGTGCATGTACTCATATACGCGGAGAGTGGCTGGCGGTCCTGCCGCGCCGCCATTTTTGGATTCAAACCTCCCGCCATGTTGGGCACGCGGCGCGAGTAGGTTGCGCAGTGGATGTCTCTGTTGTTTTATCGCCGACGTCATATGATGTATCGGACTGTGATTGGGCCACGCATCCTTACCTTCCTCCGCCGCTAGCTGTGATTGGTTTAATGTAATATGACATGCTTTCCCGCTGGCTCGTAGAAGGCGCTTGACCTAGCTGCGTTAGTTACATCCCTCCCGGCCACACCATATATACAGGTATCTATTGTTCCGTAAGAATGGCTGCCACCGGACCACCACCACCACAGAAAAACCTTGCATTACCTGGACCCAGCCGCCCTAAGCCAAAGAAGATACGACGTGCCCTAAGTTACGAGGTGAAGTACAGTATAATACAAGAGTTAGAAAAAGGAACAAGACAGGTTGATCTCGTGCGCCAGCAAGCCGCACGCCTCCAAGAACGTGGACATGACCAAGCTAAATGTCCACTGGCTGACCACACGTAAGGCGTGGATGTTCTCTGCTCTGTCCCTCTCCTGGTTTGATGATTGTTTCATTCCCGACGTGAAGAAATTCTGTGAGCAACAGAATGTTCCATTCAAGATTTTGTTACTCCTTGACAACGCACCAGGACACTCGCCCCTATTGTTGGATCATCACCCCACTGTAAAAGTGGTCTTCCTTCCTCCCAACACTGTCATTAATCCAACCCATGGACCAAGAATTAATCTGGAAAGTGAAAGCTGCATTCTCTGCAAAGAAGTTTTAAGCTCCTGAACGACTGTACCAACACCAAGGATGAGTTGCGTAACCTGGGTGACACCGATAGCAAGAGTGACGAGGACGTGGAACAACAGTTGGCGGAGCAAAAAATTCTCGTGAAACACTTTTGGAGGAAATTTAACGTCAAGAAAGCTGTGGACTTCTTGGTGGAGGCATGGGATCAGCTGTCTGTAGCAACGGTTCTTCACGCATGGAGACATGTGTTGCAAGGTATCCCAGGTGGGAGGCAGAGTCAACCTGTGACTTGTGAGGTTCAGTCTGTTGCAGTGGCAGTGGACCTTGCAAGAGAAGTTGCGCAGAGTGTTACAGCTGCAGGCTTCTCCGAGACCACCAATGAAGAAATCCTGGAGGTGATCAGGGATCCTGAGGCGACTGCTGACGAGATGTGAGAAGACGATCTCGTCAGTGAAGAGGCAGGTGGTGTGTCATCCCGAGAAGAACACAAGTTATCGCATGGTAATGTAAGGGGTGCCATCGAGTGTGCAGAGAAACTGAAGCTCCTCCTTTCCGACGACCCTAACAATAACCGGTATGAAGTCTTCACTACCCAGCTGTTGCAGGTTATGGAGCCGTACATCAAGGTGTATCAAGACAACATCAACACTAGCCGTCAACAAAGCATTACCGAGTTCTTCTCCCGCAACCCACTACAGTCAGCCCAAGCCAATGATAGTGACAGAGACAGTAATGGTGACTTTGAGGGATTTGTCAGGGAGGCCCTGACAAATGTGGATGACAGTGATGGTGACTCACCTGAGGGCCAGTAGTCTACCCTTTGCCTCGGAACCAGCCGCCATTCCCGTATGCCGACCCATCTCTTCTACTAACGGAAGTGTTAAACCTAACCTTGATTTTTCCTAACATAACCTAACCTTACGTAAGTGTTAAACCTTGATTTTTTAAACCATAACCTAACCGTAGGTAAGTGTTAAACCTTGATTTTTTCTAACCTAACCTAACCTAACCTGACGTAAGTGTTAAACCTTGATTTTTCTTTTACCTGGTACAGTATATTATTCTCTTATTGATATTTCTCTTCTACATTATGTGTGTGTGCATACCATCATAAAGTTAAGATGTTATTTTTACTACAAGGTACGTATTGTGTCGGAAAAAGTGGAGTTTGTGGGTCGGCCCAGTCTCTATTTCAATTAATCCCATATGTTCTGTTATTCCATTTACGCGTTTCTCGTTTTACACGGGCCTCCGCGGGGTGTTATTGTATATATAAGTAATATCTCCGTTAACTGGAATCCTTTAAACCCGGAACCCTCCAATAACCGGAGTGGAAAATTTCTCGGAAAATCTTTCCCAAAGCTAGAATTTTCCGGAAAATTCTGGGGATGGGGGAGTGTTTTCCGGGTTTGAGAGACGAAAATCAGGAGCATTTTCTGGAAATTCCGAGAAAATTTTTCCTTTACCCTGAAAATTTCGGGGGATGAGGGATTTTTTCCGGCTTTGAGAGTAGTCTCGTTACCCGGAATCCCTCATTCCCAGAAGTGCTCTGCACCAGTTGTTCCGGCTAAAGGAGATATCACGTGTGTGTGTGTGTGTGTATTACATAAGACATCTTTTTTCTGTATTCATGTGACACTACAGTATATGTTTTAGAATACGTATCTATATATTAAATTGGTTACACACACCCACAGTCATTTGGTTTACTGGAAAAAAGTGCCCATTATTAGTATGTGTTGGTCTGTTTATGAGTTGAGCATTAGCTATTGCATGAACTTCTAGTCGTAAGTTGTGGAAGGCAAGCTCTCTTTTTCTTTATTCTCAGAACTAATGACTTTTTCTCACTTGAACACTGAAGATGCAAATTTTACACCATGGCTAATTTGGGCATGGGATCATTAGTGTCACCTGTGCCATGTGTTTGAATGGGTGGGTATCTGATTCCCAAAGTTGTGAAATTTTTTGGGGTAGATTGATTGGAAATTTGTTAGTCATGTCTGCCTCAAAAAATGTGGATATCCTTTTAGGGTCAGAGGTTAAAAATCGGTTTTGTCAGTATATCAGTCAATTACATACTCATAGTGCAAGATCAGGGCATCATATCTTAATATGATTGAGTACAGTACGTACATGATTTGATATCCACTTGTCATTTTGTAAAGTTTTGAATCCATAGTTTAGTTGGTTGATTATCTTTTAAGGTTCCTCTCTAGCATGTTACCATTTACTTGTATATTCACATAGTCTTGATAAAGCTCTAGAATATTTAAAGAAATGTCTTTTACTGAGAAGATATTTAGTCAATGTAGAAACAAAATCCAAGGCTCGAATTTCATTCAAAATTTGAGGTTTACATTAAGGGTTCAATTGATTATGGATTTATTGTGAAATAGTTAAAACAAATGCTGGCATCCTTATAGCCATCCCTAAATGTTTTGTGTACTCCATCATACTTCATTAATTTCCAAAGAAAAGCAGATACAAATCGGCAATGATAAACTTGTATATAGGTTGAAAATATTTGATGCGTTTATTTGAAAACGAAACAACCTTTACATATTCATTTATACATTTAGGTTATCTACCTAATAGCATATCCAAGGGGTGTGTACCATGAGAGGGTACATTTAAAAATGCAAATTTATGGAGGGGGCCATCCTCTTATTAGAAGGATGCCAGAAGTGTACAAGGTTAGATAAAGAGATGAAGTGATTGTAGTTCTGGTAAACATCAGTAAGTACTGTAGTTAAATTATAAAGAGTTTATCATTGGAGTGTAGTGTATTTAAGTGTTGAAAGATCTCAGTGGATAGTAGGTAAGATCGACCCCTCATTTTATTTTTCACGTATCACCACACTTGAAGTCTGCCCTAACAATGAACTCAGACTCTACCTCCTACCTGTTAGTCCCAAATAATTTTAAAAACTGCCAACCCCCAGAAGTACATTATAATACATATGTCAAAAGGACCTGGCTTGTTTTCAGTTGAGTTTGGTTCATTCTTGTATTGGTTCTCCTACTGCATTGCTTATACATGTACAATTAGAGGCTTAGATACATATGCAAGCACATGCAATGAATAAAACACACACACACACTGAGTGGTCCCTCGGTTAAAGAACAGTTTGTTCCACAGATTCGTTCGTTAACCGAATCTATTATTTCAATGGGATATTGGGTAATTGGTTCCAAGTGACAGAAAAAGTACATACAAAGTACTGTATACCAGTAATAGAATTAACAAAACATTAAATATAAATTAAATACGATACTGTACAGTATACTGTACAATAATAAATAAAAAACAATAGAATACTGGATTTTAACTTACTGTACTTTGAGGTGTGCATGTTGTATTCCCGGCAGCTTTGTTTACATATCAAACAGCTGATTGTTGAGGCAGTCGATGATGTCATGCCATATTCTTTACAAGGTGCATTGGTTCTAATGCCTTCTTCGTGTTTCATAATAATTTCTGCAATGTATATTATCAATATGTTAACTAATTTTCAGAATGACCAATAATTTTAATGTGAAAATGCCAAAATATTCAAGAGACCAACAAACTCGATGTTCACTCAACTGTAAACAAAGTTAAACTGAGTAGCGTTGTTGGGTGATTCAATCAGTTGATTGGCGCACAAAAACTGTTCCCTGTACTGTCTATATTATCAATATGTTAACTAAATTTCAGAATGACCAATAATTTTAAAATAAAAAATGCAGAAATACAGTGGGGCATGCTATAACGAATCTAATTGGTTCTAGAACCTTGTTCGTTATAGCATTCGTTCGTTATAGGATTAATCCGTTCCAGGCCCCCAAATACAACCACTTAACACTGAAAAATATAATATTAAATTGTAAAAATTGTAAAAAAGTGCATAAATATGCATCTAAACCCTTGAAATAAAGAATATCATTAATACTTATAATACAGAAACAATAAATTAGTAAAAAAAAAAAATTATAATGTTCGTTGTAGGAGTTTCGTTCGTTATAGTATTATCAATTTTATAGGTAAAACAGTTCGTTATAGGAATATTCGTAGTAGGATCCGTTCGTTATAGCATACCCCACTGTATTCAAGAGACCAACTTTCTTGATATTTACTCCACTGGAAACGAATGTAAACATAGAACAGATTACCGTATTGGCAGACTGGCTGATCAGCTAATCAGCTGATGCGCACAACAAAACGTGTTTGTTGTAAGGATTTCGTTAATCGAAGTTTTGTTCGTTAATCGAACTGAAAATCCTTATGGGAGCTAATTCGTTAACCGAAATTTCGTTAATCGAACCGTTCATTAACCGAGGGACCATTGTACTGGTATTTTACTGTATATTGTTGATTGAACTATTGTTGAGTAAGTAAAACACACCTTTTTATTCTTGTCAATTTCTCTTGTATTTTGGTGGCCATGTGTATTGTGATGTATGGTAATGTAGTGATTCATAGATTATTGTACTGTACAGTACTTAGATATCCTGGGTATTAATGCTAGATGCATGCCACATGTTAGTTGTGTACAGTAGTGGGAACTTTTTTTATACTATTACTTTTGAGTAACTACAGTATGTATTAAGGTTATACTTAATCTACTTTTAGTAGCTTAGTGTGTGTTTTTTGCCTTGTCTTTGTTATGCTGCCTGCTGTCGCCACCTGCCTGCCTTCCTGTGTGCGACATACTGCTGCCCTGCGTTCGTATGGGCAACGTGTGTGCTACACCTGCCTCTGCGATACAAATCCTCCTACGACTGGGAAATGTCCACCTGGATATGTGCTGACCATTGTTGGCATTTATACTTTATTTTGATTAATTCTCTTCATTGGGATGGGACTTGTAATTCATGACCTGTATTTACATTTTACAATTTGCTGTATTTGGAATAAATTATATTATTTGTATTACTTGCTGCATTGTGCTTCATGTTCATTTTCATGCTATACTGTATTGATGTTTTCATCTTTAATCTGCTTATGCTATAAACTCATTTAGTCATTTTTTGTTAAGAAGAAAGTTAAATAATTTTTGGGTGGGCGGCAGCATGGAGCAGCTGGGTACACGACGGACACGCCTTCACTCTGAGTCTGAAGCTTCGGGAACAGTAGATAACACTGGTAAGAGACCTGATGGAAGTAGGAGCAGGACTGACATGCGGGAACTTAGGACGGCACAAAACTCTCCTGCGCCTTCCACTCTGGCCAGCCCAATAAAGTCTCCGAACTATCCAGAGGCTGCTGAAGAGGAGAATTATACAAACAAGTGTAAGTAGAGTAATCCAATTCTGGTTAGTCATGGTAATCATACTTTGTACAGCTTTAAATATGATGAAATCACTTTTAATTTTCTTTCAAGTTTCTTTTTTCATATCTGAGTAAGGTTGATATATGTCTGTCCTTCTGTATCTTGTAGGCTTAGTAAGTCCTTTATTTTTATGTTGGTGAGCATTTATAGGAAGGCATTTTTCTTTGGTGAGGTTTTGAATGAAAATTTGAGAGATTATGTATACAAGTGATTGATGGTAAGGTTGAGGTGTGAAACAGTGGACTTAATTGTTAACATTTACTTGCAATCCACAATTATGAATTGCAAGGCACTCTGGGTTAGAAGTACAGTACAGGGGGTCCCTGGGTTCATTCCTGAGAACGTTCTTAAGTTGGATTTGTACACAAGTTGGAACTCATGCTATGTGTATGCTGTACTTACAGAACAATCTTTAAAATCCCACTGTATCATAGCCTAAGTTCTTATATACTCGTGCATCTAAAATCACTTAATTTAAGACAAAATTTGACAAAATACAGTAAATAAAAGTAAAAAATAAGTCAACAGTTAAATAAAATACTGTAAATTTCAAGTTTAACTCCGTTCGTATTGGCGGGCTTTCGTGAGTCGGACATTCGTAAGTCGGGGACTCCCGGATAAAAGCTATGTAAATAATGCCAGAAAAATTCAGTTAAAATTTAGCAGTTTTAAAATGAGGACAGTATGTTCCAAGGTTTAATATTTTGTTCTTTTTATTAATGAAAAATATATTATCCTATCTTATCAGCAGTTTTAAAATGAGGACAGTATGTTCCAAGGTTTAATATTTTGTTCTTTTTATTAATGAAAAATATATTATCCTATCTTATCACGTGCGTCTTTTTTTTTTTTATTACATTTGTTTCTTTCATTAACATCACGTGTCTTATTTTGTTTTATATTACCCTGTACATTTGTTTCTTTCATTAACATCCAAGCAAGAACCAACTCCTTGGCCTGTATGGCATTTTATAGAAGAATCTTTGTCACTGTCCAAATTTCCTCAGCATTTGTCTTCAGTTGTATTATGAACATAAGTGAAATTAAAAGGTTCTTATTACACTGTATTAATAAGGACACATATATGCCAATATGATGACACCTTGTTTCAGTGTATATATATATATATATATATATATATATATATATATATATATATATATATATATATATATATATATATATATATATATATATATATATATATATATATATATATATATATATATATATTGTATATATTGTATATATACTGTATATACTTTTTCTCTTGCATATTTATGTATAGGTACCCTAGGTGTTCCAAAGTCACCACGTACCCCAACTCTACCCGGGTCCATGGTCCACAACGTGCAACATCGGTTTATAAAAACCATCAAGTCGGCAACCTGTGGCTATTGCCATCACAAGTTTACAATTCTTAGTGGTAGTAGGCTTTATTCTTTATAGTTGTGGAATTATGATATATTTTATTTACTTGTTAAGGCTTTTTTCTGCTCATATTGCAGTACTATATTGTACTGTACCTGTGTATGAAACGTTTTCTGATATACAGTATATTTTGCTGAATGTAATGTTTATATTTCTTGTCTTAATTTACTGTTTTATTGAATTATTATTGAGTTTGACAAATCTTAATTTTAGAAAATAATATAGCAGTTGTAATTGACTTTGAACCCATCAGTAATGCTATAGGGATAAGTATCATTAAAAGTTCATCTTTTTTTTATTAGTACAGTACTGTATACAGTTGTATTATTCCATTCATTTCTCAGGTCTAAAGTGCAAAGAGTGCAGCTTTAAATGCCATCGTGAATGTGAACCAAAGGTGCCACCATCTTGTGGATTGCCTCATGAATTTCTTCAGATATTTACTGATGTGAGTTTTGCAACACTTTTTTTCATCTCTCAACCTTTGTCATATTAAACCATTCATTGACGCTGGTTGGGGGATTTACAATACGGGTTTTGTCAGTACATGTGTTCACAGAGCTTGTGTGAAAACTTGTTTTAGACATCTTCATAAATGGTTGTCATTAAAATAACAGTTAAGATATGTTTAGGTAGGAAAGGCTACTTGATATTCTGTATTATTTTTAGAGTGGGGCATATATACAGTAGTTGTGTCTTCTTGTTTGTTGGGTATAGTAAAAATAAAAAGGTGAACAGGGAATGGGGGTACGAGGGTTAAGAGTCCAGGATGTTAAAATGAACTAAAGGTCCGAAAAAAATACTATTACTGTAGTGGAAAGAGTTGAGGTGGTGTGGACTTGCAAAGAATGTGATGGATAGCAGAATTGAAGAGAGTGTAAAGGAGTGGAGTAAAAAAGATTAGTGTATTGGGAGGACACACAACATCCTAGAAGGAAGAAGTGGAGAAATAGTTGAGAGGTCATGCAAAATCATGCGAGGAATTCTCTCTCTAAGACAGTTTCCTCAGTCAGAGTCTCCAGCTGAGAATTAGGTTTCAGAGGTATAGATAGATTGATAGAAAAAATGCATTCAACTTTTGTTTCTTAAAATTTTATGTCACTATGTTACTGATGGTGTAAACTTGAGATACCAATTATTGGCTATGTATACAATAACCTAATGCCTCGACCCATTTCATACCCTAAAATTTAGCATACCTGCCTTAGAACCTCTTCATTGATTGATTATTTCGTCATTCATGAGTCTGGTAGCCCTCTTCAGAACGAGTATGTTTCGGCTATCCGCTTCAAATAAGTCTCCATATATTGGTCATGTGCTTCAGTAGGTTGGGACTCACAGTATACATTTGAGAGCCTAAACCCACTTCAAGGATTGAATTAGACTAGTAGATCCCATGAATATGCTGAAGTCAATTTGTAATTTGGGGGAGAGATTCTAGAAGCATTTTCCCTTGTGACCCATTTGAATGTAATGCTTTGTTAATTTGTCAGTTAAGAGTTATTTTCATGTTTGATAGATAAGCAAATACTGTCTAGCTAGGGAATAACATTAATCTTCTTGGCCACATCTTTATCCTGCCCAGCCATAAGATAAATATTTCACTAGCTGAATCTATAATTTCTGTTTCAGTCTCTGAAGAAGGGCGGTATGGACGGGAGCGGTGGGCTTCCTAGTCGGGGGACCCCAGGCGTGTCTCTCTCTCATCTCAATGATGTATTCCCCCCTCCACTACGGGACAGCCCTATGTTCTCTTCCCAGCCATCCATTAACATACCATCCTTCCAGGTAAGTACAGTACAAATAAGTTTTGAAAATTCATTTTTATGTATAGCTATTGCTTTTACAAAGCCAAACCATTGACACCATACCACATGTAGTGCATTGGTACTATGAAGTGTTTAAGCATTGCAGGCTGATGGGTGACATGAACTGAAACATTACCAAAACCAGACAGCTCACTGCATTTAAAAGTCTATTTGGTGGTCGTACGAAACCTTTGAAATCAGTGACGTAATGTTCAATGAGACTTGCATTCTTCTACAGTGAGCACCATTACCTTACATTTATGTAAAATATTAGGTTCCTAACTGATATAGTTTTTAGTGTATCAGAATTATTTATGGTTTCCAAATAAAAAACCACCCTGTATATGTCAAAATACTGTGGTAATTTTAACAAGAACCTTTTTGCTGTTTCCAGGGTCCAGACTCCAGTTCTAACACCTCCAGCTGTAATTCCTCCACCCCCTCCAGCCCAGCTCCAATTATCTCTGCTTCTCCTGCACAGCAACAAGCATTCCGCTTCCCAGGTGAATAACAGGAAAATCTTTCCTGTAGTTATCTTGTACTTACAACTTCTTGTATTTTCAAGTTTCAAAAATTTCAAATATATTGCAATTATGGTAAAATTGGTTTTAGCAAAGAAAAATGATGAAATGATGAGTATTTATTGTTCTGTATGGAATGATGGATGGAGGCAGAAATGTTGAATGAAAAGGTTATTCAATTAATACTTGAGAGTGGATATGGATGTACGGTATTGGCTTTTCAGTGATACAGGGAGAAGAACTGTAATTGGGCCAAAAAAGTATTAATGTTTACAGGGAAAATAAAGTTGTAGTGGCTATAGAAAATAATGTTACTTATGTATAGGAGATGAAATTAAATGATGTTCAAGTTGGTTAGAGGCACTGGGGGAGGATGTGCCATGGAATGTAAATAGATGTTGGCTAATGACTGTTTGTGGAGAGGAATTAGGTAGGGCCAGTATGCAAGGCAAGTGATTTTCCAGACTCAATAAAAATTGGGAATGAAAACCACTGTTGAACTCATGTGGAAAACACTAAGTCAGACTTAAAAGGAATTACAATTTTGCTTTATTATTTGTTGTTTAAATGATAGGCCCTGCTGCCATATGGCATCACAAAAATTGTGACCAAATCCCTAGTGGCTGAGCTGACCTTCTGCCTCATTTATACCCAATTGCAGGGTCTCAGTTGTTTCTCTTACTATTGACAACACAACATACATACAGTATATCGTTTCTCACTATTTATCTCTTTTTTATTTATTTTATTTATTTATTATGAATAATAATAATATTATATATATATATATATATATATATATATATATATATATATATATATATATATATATATATATATATATATATATATATATATATATATATATATATATATATATATATATAAATAAAAAATATAAGTGTCAACTGATATATAATTCACAAGGGATGATAAATGCAAATTTAATTACATTTCAACAGGACTATAATATATCTGTAAGTGATTTAATATTATTGGTGTTTAGCAGTAGCTTCTCAATTCTGACTTGTTTTGAATCTGAAAAATCACTAGCCTTACTAAGAAGTCTTTGTTAGAGAACATTTTTGTGTGTATAGTTGAATGCAATATTTAATATTACTGAAATTAATCCAGAAATTTGATAAATACAGAGTATGTTGTGTGTTTATTTTAATACTATTTGAACTAGTAAGACAAACCAATCAGTAGATGCTCATTGATGTTATTTCCTCAGTTACTCGAGGATTCCACTTCCCAGGTAAGTAGCAAGATGGTTCCAGCAGATACAACGGTCTTGTATTCTTAACTTTTGTTTGTTTAGTTTTTTTGGTTCAGTAGTACTGTACTGAGTTGAAGCAACACTTGTATTTGTCAATTGAGAAATACTCCATAAAACTGTTGATTAAAATGCTTTAATGCTTTTATATGGGATTCACCACTTAATTTCATTAAATGAAACAATTTCCTTAACGAAATATGATTTGTTGATAGCATTATGTTATTTTTCGTAGTATTTTTTTATTATCAATTAATCATTTCAGAAACAGTTTTATTGACTGTAGCCAAATGAACTTGATATTTAATCATTCCCAAATTGCTGTTTTATAATGGTAGTTATATTGAATTGAATGAATAAAACTAGGTGACATTGATTGTTTTGCAAAAAAAAAGATGATTGGTCTTAGAATCTTGAATTCTTTATAAACATATACCGTATATACTCGTGTATAGTTCGAGTTTTTAAGACCAAATTTTTAGGCAAAAAATTGGGGGTCGTCCTATACATGCGTAATAGTTTTGTTAGGTTGAACCCGTGCATGATGGGAAGGGTGAGGAGCAACTTTTAGCTTCAGACATGAAAAATATTTACCATTTACTGCCAGTAAAACAATGGAAACGTAAAATATGTACCAATTAGTAATGAAAAGTTGTGCAGTTCCTTCAGCAAATGAAGCTCACCAACTTAAAATAGGCTAAATTACCTTACAACGTGCTTTAAGTAGTCTATGTTGAAGTTCTTAGCACAGGCTAACTTATCATATCATATATACAGTATCACAGTTCTCATTGATCTACAAAAAATACCGGAAATAAAAACCTTTTCGATATTTCACACTTAATATAATACCCGGTATTCTACTTCAACCTCCTATTGTTTACAACGACGCATCACGCACCAGCTGTATCAGCTAGACGGCACACATGTTTTTCGAATCGTTTTCAGTTAAAAAACTGTTACATCACTCGTAAATTTTACCTAAACTGCGCCTGAATGAATATATTCTCGGAAATAAATAGTAGTTTTGCTGAAACGTGATGTATTTCAATGTAAAATAGGATAAAATACATGACGAAAACAAAAGACTTTACCTAAGCTTCCGATGTTCTTGAGATGTTACTCGTTTTTTTAATAGTTTTCGGTTAAAATTCTGTTATATTACAATGATATGATATTCATACTGTGCTTGATATAATACATTCACGGAAATGTAATATTTTTGCTGAAATTACGTACGTATTACAGTGGAAAGTGGGATCAAATTGTGACGAAAACAATGACTTTCGCTTTCTTTCGTTCAAAAGATGTTACCTTAATCGCTTTTCGAATGGTTTAGTTAAGAAACTGTATTACAATAATATTCCCTCCTAATTGACTTGAATAAATATTTGAATGGATATATACAATATTTTTGTTGAAACTACCCGCGTTTCAGTGTAAAGTGTCGTAATAATAAATGGTAAACAATTTGCCTTCGGCACTCGTGTTTCAGGCACGGTGAGCCTCGGTTTATAGGATGTAGTGTTTTTACTGAAGGTTTTGTTGTTCCATTACCCTCAAAAACGTGGGTCGAACTATAAACGAGGAATATCATGAATTAACGATTTCTTGGTCAAAAAATCAGGGTCGACCTATAAACGAGGGGAGGTTATAGACGAGTATATACGGTATACTGTCACAGTTTGATTGCTCGTTTTAAAGTGGCGACCACGAGGTCGCTTGTTGTCGCTGTGCAGCTGTGGCGCTCACGCATGCGCACATACACACAAAAGCCCGCTAAAAAAAAAAAAATAGTTTTTGAAAAGTCCGGATTCTCGGGTGGTCCGGATTTCTGGCATCCGGATTTTTGGACTTTTACTGTACATAAGTCACTTATTTATATTAATTTTATCATTTCATTGATAAGGTTAATAGAGTTGTTGTCAATTATGTCTTGGTATAAGAGCCACTTTTTAACATGTATTTGTGGTTCCTGGTGTGTTTTTCCAGTCATATTTGTCTATGAATTCTAACAGAAAATTTGTCTCTAAGTGATATGGACATTGCCATCAAAGCCTAGAAAAATCTCAGTACCATGATATTTATTCTTGACAGGGTCAATCATGTGCCTTCTTGTTCTTAACATAGAAACCAGGACTCGACTAGCCTTCACAAGGAATGTTTTTACCTTCATGAAAATATTTCCACAACACTTTGGTCAACTTCTGTAAATGTACAGTACAGTATAGGTAAACTCAATCATTAATTAATTAATTAATTCATTCATTCATTTGCTTCATTAGATAATTTTTCTCAGACTGGAAATGCATTTAGTTCAATTAAAAAAGAAGAAGTCAGCAGTGAAGGCATAATCTTGCCAACTAATTTCATTATAGGTTATATATGAATAATGTCAGCTCACAGTTACAACTAAGCAACTGTAATGTGTTTTACTGTATTTATACTCTTCTTGTATTTGCTTAATTGCTATTACAGTGATTAATATGCTTGATAGCTTAAGACAGTATTCATTATTTAATGTGACCGCAGGTACTTATTTACCTTGCAGATTTTACTTTCTTCACAGATGTGAATGATGATACTGGAGACATTCCCTTAGAGATGCGGCCTCTTACGCATATCTCAGCCAGATCTCTCCCCAAGGTTCCTGTGTCTTCCTCCTCCACACATAGTGATGTTATTGACTCCCGCCAGTCGCATGATTCTGATCGCACTGTGTCACAAACTTCAGGGTAAGTACATTACTGGAATGCCTTGTTGAATGACCTAGAGGTTATGAGAACTGGACACTTTGATGATTGCTACCTATGGCAATAGATGATTTAGCCATTAGTATATATAGCTTGATTAATTCTAAATATTTCAAATTCAAGGTTAAAACAACTGAAGACTTTCATTTCAGCTTGCATTGTTAGCTTAAGTAAGGTTGAGCACAGTGATCAGAGAAATGTCAAAAGGTGTAGCTGCAGCCAAAAGGACAGTGGCCCAAACTATTATAACTCAAATATTAAAACTGGTTAATACTGGTACAGCCACATATATGTCTCAGAAACTTTAACCATGATGGAACATAGAGAAAAAAAATGAGTGCATAGTACAGGTATCCCCGTATTTGCAATGGGGTTACGTTCCTGAAAAAAACATCATAGGGCGAAATATCATAAATTGGGATCATTATAACGTGGGGTTCAATGGGATATGTTCCCAGCCAGTCTGAGACCCACATGTATCACCCAAAATAAGATTCCAACAATAATAATACACAAAAAACAATTAAACAACACTCATCACATCATTAAGAACAAGAGTGGTTATTACATGTCTCCTTTGAAGCTAAGGAGACTCTTGAAGGTGGAGTGGAGACGTCACTGCCTCCTACACGGCTTCACATGGTTTTCCTGGGTACCTTGGGTTTCCATGACATTTTCAAAGTTATATTACTCACTTCACAGTTACAAAAACAGAGCAACCGATGATAATGTTAAAACAATGATAGCAGTCAACACTGCTCGCATCATGTTCACAATAACAGGCAAAGTACTTTACAGTCGCAAAAAAATTTGCAAAGGTCACGTCACAGTTCCAAAACAGAGTACTGTACAATGTGAATGTTGGTTATGAGTTTCATTCCTAATGGGTCCAAATTATGGTTAGGTTAGTTTGTGGTCTATTAGGACTGGGGCTCATTTGACCTGCAATCATTTAAAGAATAAAATCACAACTCTGAATTCTAGTGACTTCCATAAAGAGTATCTGGGAGGCTTACATTTTACAAGATTTTTAGGATTCATGACTATTATGGCTTCATAAATACAGTGTATATTTGCATGTTCTCTTTTAATTATATCCTCTTAGATGTATTTGATGTTAGTTTAGTCACAGACATTTTGTTTTTGCCAGGTCTGGTAGTACAGGCACTGATGATTCAGAGCGCACAATAGCGGGTCGAGTGGATTCACAGGATTCCACGGTTTCTGATGGAGAGAACGCAGATCCTCGCTGTTTTCGGCAGAATAGTGTCAGTAGTGTGTCTCAGTCACTACGGGAATGGGATATCCCTTATGACGAGCTTGACCGTGGAGAAGTTATTGGCCGTGGTCGATTTGGCATTGTGTATTCAGGAAACTGGCATGGGCATGTGGCCATTAAAGAACTCCGTATGGATTATGTGAATGATGAAAAAACCCTCGAGGCATTTAAAGCTGAAGTAAGTAATCTGAGTTAATTGTTTGCACAACAGTGATCATGATGCATTTAGTAATTATTTTGTTAAATACCTAATGACTGCACACAGTTTTTAAAGGTGGTCATTATGGCTACCTTTAAAAGTATAATGACAGTTACAGTATATATGATATTTTAAACTGTAAATACAGTACCATATTTTACGGTATATAAGACGCACTTTTTTGTCTGAAAAATGGCAAAAAATATCAGCCTGTGTCCTATATGTGAAGTTGAGGTCTCCTGTAAGCTAATGAATCCCCCAGTTGCTGTCTCCAGTAGGATAAATTCTACCTAACCCAACTTCAGAGTGTTACTGCTTATTTAAACACATTATTATTATTATTTTTATTTAATTAAAAAATTATTATTATAAATACAAAAGCTTGATTTATAACTGCTGTACTGATGATAACCTGAGATGATTAATGTCCGTACGGCAGACACCCAACTCTTCAGAGGTAGCTAAGCAGTAACCATTTCTGAACTTTTACAACCATTACAATCCATTAATGCCATACCTGCAACTTTTGTTTTTAAATCTTGAAATACCCGATACAAATGAAGATTTACATATAACGTTCTTTTCACATTTGCATCTGTTAACATGGCTGGCAGCATTGTAGCCAGGTTACACTGGTCACTAACCACCAGGCTACTGGGCCAGGCTGTGAGGTGTTAGGGTTGTCTTTCATATTGTATTTTCAGGTAGCTATATGTAACTTTATTTATTTATTTTTACTCAGTCACATGCACACACCATCCGACATACATATTGTGAAAAAAGTAAAAGAAATAATTTTCCTAAGGGCAAACTCATAAAGGGAATACAGTACAGCATACATTTCTTTGCACACGAGTTAGCTGGCTGGCTCAGTGGGGAAGCGGGAGGAGACGGGACGTATGGGGCGAGCGTTGCTAGGGAATTGGCGAAGGTGGCTTCTCCATTGCTATGGTGAACTAGAGAATATGCAAATGGCGACTGTGTTAAACTTTAATTTAACTTTTATTTACTGGTTTGGCAATGTAGTATTTTTTTTTTTTAGTATTATTTTGATTGGTTCCTCGCATTTACTGGTACAGGTTGTACCTCTCTATTCCGGCATTCTTTGGTCCGGAAACTCCCGTGGTTCGTAACGATTTTAGTTTGTCTAATAGGTAGATAAGCAGCTTTTTTCTTTTCTTTTTTCTGTATTATTATTATTATTATTATTACAGGAGTATTAAATTTTTGCCCCTCAGGCCCCAATGTGGGTCAGTGACCTATGCCTGGGTGGGCTGATCCCCATGAAAAAAAAAAAAAACAACAAAGCCGCTGGAAGTCAAGGTTTGTTTACATCCGGCAGTTCGGCTGCTCTCTTTCTCTCTCTGTCTATACAGAGTACAACATTCAACCCTTCAATATATATATGAGCAGTAAATAAGTGTTGCTTTCATATTCTTATGTAGAGTAATGACGATATGTTTTCACATGTGCGCACTTACATACGCGCAGTCTCAATTTTTTTTTTACCATTAATGGTTAGCTACTTATATTGTTCCATTTATTAACATTAAATAACATTACAGGTACTTCAAACAATCATATTAATTTTTTTACATTAATTTTACTACAGCTATAATCAGGGTCTTATTTTCTTCAGTTTTATATGTAGAACCAATCGGTCACTGGTTTTGTAAGCTTTAACAAAAACAATGCCGGCAGCTGTCTCGTCTCCTCCTGTGTTTTAATATTCCACGTATTATTAATAAATTGTATTGTTGATTTTGCACACACAAACATTAATTCAATAAAAAAAATCAGAAACATTAATTAAAATATATATGAACAGTAAATTAGTGTTGTTTTCATATTCTTATATAGAGTAATAACGATATGTTTTCACGTGTGCGCATTTACATAGGCAATCTCTCTTTTTTTTTTTTACCATTATCGTTAGCTACTTCTATTGTTCCATTTATTATCATTAAATAACATTACTTAAAACAACCATATTAATTTTACTATAGCTACAACCAGGGTCTTATTTTCTTCAATTTTATATGTAGAACCAGTCAGTCACTGGTTTTATAATCATCAAAAACAATGCTGTCTCATTTCCTTTAGTGTTTTAATATTCTACGTATTATTAATGAATTGTATTGCCCATTTTGCACACATATACATTAATCCAATCAAAAAGACATTCAGTAATAAACAATAATGAATCTTTTGTACATAAGAGAAATGACGCTGTTTACATGATTGTGCACGTCGTCTGAACGATGGTGGGCCATTCAAACACGTCAAAATTCGAGTTTCCGCCGTCAAAATTTTAAATTGTTTTGTTTTTTTGTGTGTTCAAATAAAAAACGTCGAATTAAAAGCTCTCGAAATTTGAGAAGCTACTGTATGACATTTAACCCTTCAATATGTCTTCAAAGAGACCATGAAGCAGAGAAATTGGTGCTCGTGCTTCTAAGCATAAGCACAAGTCACTATCTATCCAGGAAAAGGGTGAATTTCCATGGTCCTGCACCGCTCAGGTCCCGAGGTTGCCGGACTAGAGAGGTACAACCTGTACTGTATATATTATTTTAAGAAAACTATGGCTACAGGAGGAAAAGACACACAAAAGTTGTTTCCTAATATTCCCTGCTAAAATGGGGGGTGTGTCTTATATGCCATAAAATACAGTAATTAAGAAATAAATGATAAAGACTAGCCTAGAAGGTTGATGCTGCACTTACAAAATAATGTTCTCTTGGTTATCTTTTGGTTGCCTTACAGGAAACAAAAATATTCTTTGTTTTTATACCATACTAGGTGAGCACATTCCGCAAGACTCGCCATGAAAACCTGGTGTTGTTCATGGGGGCATGCATGAAGCCTCCCCGACTGGCAATAGTAACAAGTCTGTGTAAGGGCAGGACACTCTATACTCACATTCATGTCCAGAAAGACAAGTTCAACATGTCCAAGACCATCATGATTGCTCAACAAATTTCACAGGTGAGGTTTTTTATTTGTTCTTTTTTCATCCATCTTCTTATCCATGTATGTCTCCCTGTAACGGGCTGTCTGTCATCAATGTATCTCATTGTGTAGCATTTATTTTCTGTTCCCAACTAAATGCATGAAAAAGGATATCAGAAAAGGAAATGTTTAAGATTAGCTACTTTACTGCTTCATGTCTCCTCACTTAATAAACTAAGTTGCTTTGTCAGTGAAACTTCTGGCTTCAATTAGTCTTTCATCTTCTTTTATAGTATCTACCCTTTGCAGTCTGATATCTCTGGTAAACTTCATACACTCTCTTATTATATTCCAACAAAATATTTTCATCCTTGTGTCATTATGGAAATACTAACTTTAAATACTTTAATCATGTCTTCAGTCTTTACAAAATCAGATCTCTTCAATGCATGAGTTATTTGTTGCTACTATTTTCATGCATCTTTTGCCTCTACACTTGATAGTTGGAATTTTACACATGTGCTGAAAATGTGAATAAGTACATCTTCATAATCTCTCTCATTCCACATTTTTATTCTACCTTATGGCATTGAAGCATGTACTTGGAATGGGGTAAAATTCTAGTCTAATATTTTAGCGGCAAAAATTTATTATCTGTGGTCTGCATCAGAGCTTACCAGAATGGAAGGAGTCAGAAATATTGAAAAATATATGTTGTTTGGATTGTTAAAGAGGACGGAGATTGCAAATTGTGTAGTGGTGGAAGGGATGAAGAGAAAAATTCTGAGATAGAATGGACATGTGCCACTCTTGTAGCTGGGAACATTGATTGCTGGATGAAATTGGGTGACTTCTATTTTTTTGGGGGGGAAGACAAGGCACTGACATTAAACTCAGAAGTTGAATCCTCTTTTCTCCAATCCTTCAGATAGGATAAGACAAGTTTACTCCATTATTACTTTACCTTATACAAAATACTGTACTGCCATGTTTATTGGCACTACTGTATGTAATTCCCTCAGATAGATACTGCAGAACCTATCTCTTGTCTCACATTTGTTTAACTTTCCTATTATTTAAAACCAGTGATTGATAGAAGGTCTCACTACAATCACTTCATTTACAGGGTATGGGCTACCTTCATGCTCGAGGAATAGTTCACAAGGACCTTAAAACTAAAAATATTTTTCTGGAGAGTGGCAAGGTTGTCATCACTGACTTTGGCCTGTTTAATGTTACCAGACTTTGTCATGATACCAGGTGAGTGCTGAAGATGCTATGTATTAAATTGACAATGAATTATACTGTATTTGAAAACTTATTAGAGAATAATATCTCATTTAGGTAAAGTCAGCAAATTTTGACATTAGAATGTATCTAGTCACATTTTAAAAATTTCAGAGATGTATTTAAAATCTCATTACAGTATTGTGATGTGTTTGGCATTGCTTATTTTATTTATTTTTTGGTTGGTCCTTTTTTGTGTGTGTGCGTGCGTGCGATGAGCTCTGGCACCCAGAACATTTTATTGGTACTACTTACTAAAACTATGCATCTGATAGGAATAGAATAAATTACTCTACAGTTTGAGGATATGTGTGTGGCATTAGCAGATGGAAGGGCATAAGCCATAGTGAAATATGTAAGGGATTTGGCATGACTGAGAAAACCTAGAGGTACAAGGTTTGAGTCTTAGAATGTACAGTATCAGGACAGTAATTTTTTAGTTTGCTGGAACTTGTAGAGAGAATGATAGCCTGCAGAGAGAGTATACAGGACTTAGTAATTTGGGCTGCATGGACTGCATGGTAAGGAAATATGGAGGAGTACTTATGAAAATGATTGATTAAGGGGACCTGATCTGGCTTTGAGGCTTTTATGTCAAGGCCAAATCCTCGCCAAGTATTTCTGTAGGAATAAGATGTCAGAGGTGTGGCTAGGTGAAAATGTTAAATATGAAAAGTATTTTGTTTATATAATTGAAAGATAAAAAATTGTATTGAATGAACTATTTGTGTTTTAGACGAGGCAACTGGCTAAGTATTCCTCCGGGCTGGTTGTGTTACCTTTCTCCGGAGGTCATGAGAAACCTACGTGTAGCTCAGAAGCAAGATGATGGCCTCCCTTTCACTACTTACTCTGATGTCTATGGTTTTGGGTAAGTAAGGAGTTCGATGAGAATTTAATGATTACTGTATGATTAACTATTAGAACACACACACACTGCACCACCATCGCCACCTCCTGCAGCCCCCCACCCAACTCGCGCAGTCCGCCACTACAACAAAATTCAGCCCATAAGAGCCCGCACCGATAGATATAAGAACAGCACCATCCCAGCTATTGTTAAAATAATAAACAACTCCTGATTTATGTACTGTACAGCCCTGTAAATGTATTCAATGCATATTATATCATTATTTCTAAATCAAATGTAAGTTTGTATATTTTCAGCCACCGGCTGCAACTCTATTAATAAACCGTTTATTATTATTATTATTACACACACACACACACACACACACACGTACGTTGACAGATGACACATAAATGCAGGAACAGATGTGCATATGAACAAATGCAGTCATGCAATTGCAAAGACATAGATAGAAAGATGTGCACAGAATAAAGTTAAGTAATAAAGCAAAGTGAATAGAATATTATTAGGTTAGAGTCTAATGCCACAAAATATGTTTTATGACTATTTGGCATACACATTGATTAATTATTAGTCAGTAATAAACATAATGAAATGCATGCAGTACAGTACAGTTTATATGATGAAAAATTTGGATGTTGAGTAATGCTACAACACAAAGTACAATGTAGCTGCAAAATTCGTAGGCCTGATAATAATAGTGAAAATAATGTATATTTACTGTTGGAAAGGAAACGTATGGAAGCTACTGGTATACAGTAGTAGGACAAAGTAAGAGTGTGCTTGCTAAAGGTGTTGGTATTGAGGGGTGAATGGTGGTATATATGGATAGGGATGAGTGGAGTAGAAGGCAAGTATCACACTTCTAGATGTTGTTTGCTTTGTTTTACATTGACATCATTATTTACATGGGTATACAGTACTAATGATCTGTATAATAACTGCTGTTATTCTATATTCCCCTATTTGTGTGTCTGCAAGTTGTGCTTTATCAACAGGACAGTATGGTATGAGCTGCTGTGTGGAGAGTGGCCTCATAAAGGATTGCCGCCAGAGGCCATCATCTGGCAGGTTGGACGGGGCATGAAGCCATCGTTGGCCAACCTACAAGCTTCACGTGATGTTAAGGTGAGTCGGTACATCACACAGTTCTCCATTTTCTGCTTAGCATCAGTGTTAGGGAGGGGGAAATAGCTATATTTTAATATACTGTTCTATATGAGCAAATGAAAGTGGAGTTTCAGCAGTGATGTTAAAGTTTGAGGGAGCATATGTTCTTACATCATGTAGTCTTGGAACCCTTTCCTTCTGTTGACAACATCCTATAATAGTAAAACCTGATTCTCATTCATACAATACATTATAATTGCATTCCAAATTTCCAGTTATGAAGGTTAAAATCTCAGTGTATTGTAACAATGGACTAAAAGGTAATGAAACTATCACATGAGGGTAATATTAAGGTAGCTGCTTATTCTTAATGTATGTGTGTGTGTGTGACGAATCACTTGTCTTAACATTTGTGAGGAATAAGTTATATGTTCATTGTAGAAAAATGATGACACATTGAGAGCTTCTTTGTAGATTTAGTAACATTGTGAGTTCTGTATTGGAGAACAATGAAATTAGTAATCATACTGGCAGTAAAAATTGTGTATTATTTGGGCATATATTCATTGATGATGTTTCCATAATTTTGGGGTTTTTGTTTGTAAATCAAATTATGTTTTTGTGTAAATGTGAATTTTCATAAATTAAATCCTCTAAA